AAGATCAAAATCTAATGCTCCAACCTTATAAAATAAGTAAAGTCAAAGGGTTGAACTCAACTAACGTTAAGACCGTAAGTCTTGGCGCGCATCTATGCCGCATTCAGAACAAATTCGCGCCCTTGACCAATCACAGCTCGTAATATCCCTGTCACCTTCGGTACACCTTCCTGGGTAAATTACTGTCACTTGCCGTTTTGGGTAAAGCCCGGTGGTATGCCGACGGTAGCCTCTCGCCCGCTCGGCAACTGCTCATGTTCTCGCCTTGGACTCTACAATGTGGAGAATATGTGACTACAGGCTATGGTACTTGTGTGTCGAACATCCTCAATACTATCCGGTTAATCGTTTCCTTTTTCCAGGGTGGAAAGTCAATCTGGAAACTGGGAGGTCCAGGAACTGTAAACTGCTTCCCACGTGCCGGCCATGCGTCTTGGCAATTAAGGAATGAACTACTCTGCACGCTTCGATATCAAAGTTCCCGATGGATTATCTTGTTTTCGCAACGTATGTGTGTATGTAGTGGCAGCAATTGTTGCCTGCGCTGAAGATGCATTGGCTTAGGGCAATGCACTCTTTAGAGACTGGGTTGAAGGGCATGTCCGACATACTTTATGCATCGTACCATTGCGTGTCCCATTGTAAAACACGGACTGACAAATTTCGAGCTCCACACTGCCTGAGCACAGCACCTGTCAGCGGCTTATGATGTCCCTATACCTAGCCAGGTGTTGTGCGCGATTTCTTTGAGCTATACGAAGTACCTTGTTGGGCACTTCACAAGATTGTAAGCGCGCTATGCAAGCTTTGGTGCGATCGAAATATAGAGGTCCATTAATTGCATTATATCTTGTGCAAGACTAACATATGAAGGCGTTCCCAGGCCCGCCAATACTTTATTCTATGTACATAATGAAGACCTAACCGGGCAAGATATTAGACGTCCATGACAGTCAATCCTATGGGTCTCCCACTTTGAACATCCCAAACAGCACCATTGCGCTCGGTAAATAGAAAGATCGCCTATACTTTCTATACATAATGTCTTGCTATAAATTCTGCATATGTGAAGACTTCTCCCCTGCGGATAAGACACTAGAGTTTCTCGGTGCGTCTGAGCAACCATTCAAGGTGACGATAAGCCACACGAGGCTGGTACTGCGGTTGCATATGACCAGACTGGTAACTCTGAGCCCACATCAAGCCACGCTCATAGTGCTGAACACCCATGACGCCCTGAGGGCCATCAACGCCAGACTGGCTATTCTCCGCAAAGACATCGGCATACATCAGATCCGGCATTTTGATATCGATGGGGGTATCAGGCTTCTTCTGGAACCCGAGATGGCCGTTCCAGGTCATATTTTGGATAGCCAGGAGCGTGCCGTTGGTGATGACAACCATATCAAAGTCACCGTTTGAAATGAGAACGCGGTTAGTAGCCTCAATCACCTGCGGCAAGACATGCTCGATCGGGTTCGCCGAAATATCGCCTTCTCGCTCCGGGCCGGAGTCGCCACCGACGTACACGGGCTCGAGGGAACACCCGCTCCAGGCCGTCTTGGGTGCGTGTAGCGCTCGCTTGACGTCTGCGCGATCGAAGTAGACGCTTGAGCCAGGTGCTTGGTAGTCGAGCGAGGTGGGGAAGGCGAGAACGTCCCAGAGGAGCGGGCACATCTGGTTGATCTCGTAGACGTCGAAGCATGGGTTGATGTGGAATATTTCGTTGTTGACGAGGCTAAATAGACCACAGTCGTCGTCTAAGGAGCTGGATAGCAAGGGCGGCTGGACTTCGGGTGGTGGGAAAGTAAGGTACTTGTCGATGAACTTCTCATATCCGCAGGATTTATGCTTCTTGTCGAGCTCCGCCATGAATGATTCGTTGAAGTTGAAGAGGTTCAGATTTTGCTGGACAAAGGGCACAACGGGCACTTCTTCCTGCACAGTGTCGAATTGTCCAATGCATGGGTCGTATGCCAGCGCACCTTGGTAAATAGTCAGTTTGCATTCCAGCCTTCTAAATATCCATGATAACTCACCGTCTAGATCAAAATACTCCTTGTCCTTCTCATCGAGCATCGCAGCTGAGATGTAGGGCACATAACGTCCAGCGTAACTCTCACCAGTAACATAGATCTTGAAGTTCTTGATTCCAAAGATCTTCTGGAAGTTCTTGAAGAACTTGACAAAGTCCTGTGCTGTTTCTTCTTGTGAAACGGCAGTTGGCGTGCCGACAGAGTAGCCTGTTCCGACGGGCTGATCGACCCTACGAGGTATTAGCAAGATTTTGGGTTCGTCTGCATGACAACTACTCACCACAGCACATTGGTCAAGTTCACCCAAGCATAAGGGTTCTCCACCGGAGCAAAAGTACCAGGTTGCCATATGAACCGACCAGTCTCTTGCAGGAAACTTTCCATCGAACTGCATCCAGGGCCACCGTTGAGCCAGATGGTTACTTCGTCCACAGGCTCATTAATTGTAGGCTGAAATATGAAGAAGAGCGATCTGGAACTATTGTTCATATCAATCGGCACCAGACCAGAATACATCTCGCCTATGTCGAATGGAACCTCCGGCAGAGAGTCCACCAGGTAACCTGCAGGTCGATTAGGATTTTTGCTGCTGACAATGGTATAGCCCAACACTCACGCTTAGTGTTCTTGTTCAAGAAGCGGTAGTTCTTGTCTGATTTCACATGTTTCTGGTTACGAGCCTCAACTGCCCGTTTGGCCTTCTCTTGTGGCGCACGCGCTATCTCTGCAAAGCGTCCATGTTTGGAAGCAGTCGCAAGGTCCGACCCCAGCGAAAGAGTCAGAAGAGCAGACGTCAGGACCGATTTGAGTAACATCCTGGACCAGGGGGTATAAATGGGCCAGGGAAAAAACGGAATGTGTCTCTTTCTTTTCCCCGGGGAGTGGACGCAGCTATATACCACCCCCGAAAAGCCCTACAAATAGCCCCTAATCGTGTACTTGGTAGGTCCATTTAAATTAATAAAAATCCGCTTTACCAGACTGGGTGATTCAAGTTGAATGATTGGAAGGAATCGTTAGCTTCATGCCGGATGATGCTTCTTCTGCGCCGCCTGGGCACAACCCCTTGTTCAATAGCAAGTATCCACTGATATTGACTTCGGCCATCCCGGAGTCAACCCCGGAAAAGGAAGGTCACCTGTGGACCTTGCTGCTACTTCTGTTTGTCCCTGATTTAAGTGTATCACAGTGATTTTATCTACCTTGTTAGATCATTACAACGACGAAAATCTTATAAATGGTTTCTAGAATAATTCGGCCGCGTTATGCACAGCTATCATTGGGCTCGGATGCGCGACGGATTCCGGCGAGATCGACGGTTATCTGTCACTTTGGGATAGTAAGCTCCGTGTGTGAAAAGCGGGGGCAGCTCGCAATTGGTCTGGCGTGCTTCTTATCCCGGCTAAGCATCGTTTGAGGATAATCAGCCTGCAACGGTCGTATCGGTCTGATAGGCGAGGAACCTTCTTGATAATTATTCATATGCTGTACGTACTGCTCGGCTCTCCGGTCAAACCCTCACCTGTGAATATCACCTTACTATCCCTTTCGGTGGCTAGGCTCGGCATGCCGGGGAATGCTGCCATCGAAATGATCACAGGATAAAGGTGATCGTTGTACAGAGTGTGCCTGGGCCGAGGTTCCCGTAGCCTTAGGCTATAGATGTTAAGCATGCCAAGCTTTCAAGTTGGCTCCGGAGTCACTGGCTTGAAAATATTGGCTGTTCAATGGGACTTGCTTTCTGCAACAGACCCCCTTTTCGCCAAGAGACATCAGCTGGCGTTATTAGTGTCTGTGGATATACTCGGCTTCTTATTTAGGGGGAAAAAAAAAGTTGTATCCGTCGCTATTATCTATTTAGCTAATAGAAATCAGAAACGAGAAAAAAAATGGACTCGCGGGGAATCGAACCCCGGACCACTCCCATGCTAAGGGAGTATTATACCACTAAACCACAAGCCCAGTTCGATGAAGGAGGCAGCGTATTAGCGCTACATAAGTTTAAACCAGGATTCTTGCTTCGGACTCTACATACAAGATTCTACACCAAGTAAGACTCCCAGTTTAGTTATATATTTTGAAATATGAAATATCAAACAGTTATTGCTTTCCGTGTTCTAACCTTTGAATTTTACGTGGAGTTTCCACGGGTTCAATAGTCTGTTGTACTTGGTCAAAAAAGAAAACATCATAAACATCGTAAATATATATATCATCTTTGAGTTCGTTGACCTAATTAATGTCTTAATACTGTCTGCACGCCAATCCAATTCCCTATTTCGTTAGAAAGTGCTGCTCCTTATATCCAAATATAACCTAATATAGGTCTAATTACAAATAATCAACGTTATGACCGGTATAGGTAGGTATGCGCTCCGCATGCGTTTCGGGTAATGTCTCGCGGAGATCGGAAGTTCGGAAGTTCGGAGTTTTGCCTTTGCTGAACTGCTGTCAAGCTATAGCCGACAGACACATTGAATCATATCCCGTACACCGACAATCTATATAGATAAATAAGACACAGATTGGCATTCAATGTGATGCTATGATGTCAACAAAGTGAACTGTTAGTGATATGTATGGACTGTATTATGCTGCTCAATTGAAACAACCAACAATCTGAAAATCCCATATAGTAGTTATCGAACAAACAGTATGTACATAGTATACATATGTTGTAGACAGATGAATATCCCCAAGGTCTCGGGGTCTGGATTCGGACGGGATCGCTCCACTTCCTTGCCCAATGATCACACGCTCTAAAATTTTCAAGAACACCATTACACCCATTACACTTCGAAGACCCAATGGGAATAATTCCGCGGAAAATTATCAGGCTCTGGGCACTTTTGCATATGACTCTCTTGGAAAACTTTTGATTGATAATACTTCCCTCTTTCAAACTTCTCATCCTCAACAGGATTTCTTAAAGTGGAAAGAATATTATAGCTCATTCCATATAGAATGTCTACCAATGTCGGATCTGCCAACAAGACCGGCGACCATGCATTTGATATCGTGAATACCCAGAGCACCACAACAGCCCAAAGCACCACACCCTTTGACGAGAAGACTACTGTTCACACGGACAATGAAAAATTTGACATGGAGGCTGCTCCAGAGCAAGAGCCCAGCCCAGAGGATGTATACCGGACAGCATCTACCGTGGCACCGTCCCAAAGATCAACAAGAAGAGATCCCGTTAGTCGAGTGACCACAGACGCCGAAGGGAACACCTACCCAGAAGGCGGCCTCGAAGCCTGGTTGGTAGTTCTGGGCAGCTTCCTCGGTCTCTTCGGATCGCTGGGTCTGGTCAACACCATTGGCACCTTCCAAGCATATATCCAAACCCATCAACTGAAGGAATACAGCTCGGGAAGCAACGGTTGGATATTTGGAATGTTTGCTTTTCTCACTTTCTTTTGTGGAGTGCAAGTCGGTCCCATCTTCGATGCTCGAGGCCCACGCCTTCTCGTCTTCGCGGGTTCCGTGTTTCAAATGGCCATGATCATCCTCCTCGGCTTCTGCACCGAATACTGGCACTTTATGCTGGTCATCGGTGTGCTAGGTGGAGTGGGTGCGTCTCCTCATCTTCACACCGGCGATCTCGGCGATCGGCCACTATTTCTATGAGAAGCGTGGAGTCGCGACTGGCATTGCTGCCACTGGTGGCTCTGTCGGGGGCATTGTTTTCCCTCTCATTCTACAGGACCTCTTCCCCCAAGATTGGCTGGGCCTGGGCCACCCGGGTTGTCGCTTTGATCTGCCTAATTGTGCTATCAATTGCAAATCTCTTGATCAGGTCTCGACTCCCGCAGAAGCCATTTTCCAAGGAGAACGTGCTTCCTGACTTCCGCATCTTCCGAGACCCGCGATTCGCACTTACCACTGCCAGCGTCTTCTTTATCGAGTGGGGTCTTTTCGTGCCAATCAGCTACATTTCATCCTACGCCCTCGACCATGGATTTCCCACCAAGTTCTCGTACCAGATCATTGCCATCTTGAATGCCGGCTCATCTTTTGGGCGATGGCTGCCCGGCTTCTTTGCCGATTTCCTTGGTCGCTTTAACACTTTGATTGCGACGGTAGCACTTTGCGTGCTCTGTAACGCCTGCCTGTGGCTCCCTGCTGGAGATAGTTTGCCTCTGCTGGTCGTTTACGCTGCTCTCTTTGGATTCTCAAGCGGCAGCAATATCAGCCTGACGCCAGTCTGTGTCGGCCAGCTCTGTAAAACCGAAAACTATGGCCGGTATTACGCAACTGCCTATACCATAGTGAGCTTCGGGTGAGTGTTTTTCTTTTTCCTTGTGATGTCACCTGTATATCCGTAACTGACATACTTTTGCCACCAGCACTCTCACCGGAATCCCAATTGCAGGTGAGATCCTGGCACGCTGCAATGGATCCTACTGGGGCCTTATCACCTTTACTGTCTGCTGCTATGCGGCTGGCCTTGCATGTTGTACCGCCGTAAAGGTCATCCAAGTTGGCTGGCGTCACCCTCTCGCGATCTATTAAATATTTGGATCCGATATCCGGGACTCCGACGCTGGTTTATCTGGTAATCTCGACACGATTTCACGATTTCAAGACGAGCTTAAATAGAAAAGTTCTTTTTTCCCTTGCCTTGCATTTTCTATCCAGCGTCCATGACTGAGTTATTTATTACACATAGTTGCTATAATGTCTATATTTATCAATCTGTGCTTGCAATTCTATTGTTCACTGTGTCCTTCAAGCCGGATACTGTTTCCGACATGTTCGGTTCGGCCCTTTAGCGTACAAATAGACTTGGCGAACGAACTGCATATGTGGCATTTCAATTGGAATGATTTGCCTCCATTGAGGCAATATAAAAGACATGACTGTTGGTACTTCAGGTTCAGGTCCCCTACAGGGCTGAACAGGGCCGAACACGTCGCACGAGATATCCGACAGGCACCGAATCTATGTAAACATCTAGTCACAATGATGCCTCTGTACCTTATCCAGCCATGGATTCCACCACTAGGAATGATTTCCAATAGGAGCAGACTCAGCTCTCACCATGGAAACTACAAAGACATCGAAAGCTTAACCAAAAACAAGCATCGACATCAGGCCTGGCCAACCTTGTCGCCGTGATGACATCGAATGTTCATCAATCCATCACCATTGAGCTTTCTAGACTCTCGCTACATATACGGCGTTATGCTCGCATCCCCTCCTAACATTCCTTTGCTCCCGAGACTTTGCTTTCCTTTCCCCCGTCTCGAGCTCATGCGGTGAGCATTTGCTTCGTTGTTATACTTGCTACTTGCTACTTGCTATCTAAGGAGCCCTGAAGGTAGAATTGTCTTCTACATCAGCTCATTCATCAATCCGACAACACCCGGAACCACCGGCGAACTTGCATTGGCCTCCTGTTCCCTCTACATCGGCCACCTTTGCTCAACCGCCCTGCACATACTCGCGTTGGTTCGAATCATGTTTCCAAAAAGATGCTTGATTCTGCTGGCCTGCTGGACTCTCCTGCAGAGTGCCGTGGCTGTCCCGGATGTAGCGCTAGAGCAGCCTGGCCCTGAGGATGATCGACTAGAAGAGCGTGACTTTGGCTTGCAGGAGCGAGGCAGCCGCCACCCTGCACTTGAGAGCTCGCTGCTTTCTGTCTTGACCGAAAAGTTAGCTTCGACCACACCGGGAGGAGGTGATGGTGGTGGTGGCACTACAGTTCCTGGCGGAGGCGATGGTACTACTACAGTCCCCGGTGGAGGTGGTGGTACTACTACCGTCCCTGGGGGAGGTGGTGGCACTACACTCCCCGGCGGTGGAGGTGAGTAAACTACTACCTTATCTTCTGAAAGCACTCTTCTTACTCTCCCTGGTACTCAAGACGGCACTACACACACTGGCCCCGGCGGTGGAGGTACGACTGCTACTCCAACTGGCGGCGTTCCTCCGACTGATGGTATTGGAACTTCCCCGACTGGCGGTGCTACTACGACAACCGGACCTGCTCCTCCAACTGGCGGCAATGTTAGTCCTCCCCCAAGCGGCAGCGTTTCCTCTCCCAGTGGAACCCCTCATACATCTCCCAGCGGAACCACTCATGTATCCATTCCCAGCGGAAGCCCCCACCCGTCTCCCAGTGAAACCACCCATCCATCTCCTAGTGGAACCCCTCATACATCCCCACCTGGAGTAGTCACTGAAACTACTAACACTGGTCAGACTCCCCCTACTAGTGAACAGCCCAGCACTATCCACACATCTCCCCCTGGAGGTGGCGGACAGACAACCACCACTCATACTTCTCCCGGCGGTGGTGTGCCTCCCTCCCCTACCACTGGACCGCCGGTTTGCCCTACTCCTTCCTGTCCTGCTCCTTCCGTAGAAACACCGGCTTGTCCCGTTCCTTCCACATCCAAGGAGACCACAGTGGTCCCGGTGACAGTCACTTGTCCTGCCGCCATAGTGAGCACAACTACCATCACTGTCACATCTGGTGCAGGCTTGGGTGGAGGAGCAACGGGTTGTCCTTGCCCCACTGGAGCTCCCGGACCAGGTGTTGGACCTGGAGTTGGACCTGGAGTTGGACCTGGAGTTGGACCTGGAGTTGGACCTGGAGTTGGACCTGGAGTCGGACCTGGAGTTGGACCTGGAGTTGGACCTGGAGTCGGACCTGGAGTCGGACCAGGAGTTGGACCAGGTGGCACCGCAACAGCTTCAACAGCCACTGGTGTTGTCTCCCCACCTGGCAGCTTGACAGCCTCAGCGACCACCTCTGTCGCACATTCCCCAACTGGCAGCGTGACAGCGACATTCACCGGAACCAGGACCGGAACCTTGACTCATACCCTGACTCAAACTCGAACATCGACGCCTCTGATACCCACACTGACGTCGACGCCTCTCATACCAACCACTACTAGACAGCGTACCATCACGACAGGCTCGCCCACCACACCAGCTACCCTCGTGACTTTGCCTACAACGTCTCCACATGTATCCCCATCCCCGGAAAGCCAGGGGCGCATATCACTCCACGAGCAATTGTCAACCCTGATGTTATTCGCCGACAGGTATTTAGCAACACGACGGCGACGGCCCACTTCACCAACATGACTGTTGCCGCCAATGCCACGACCAGTGCATTGAACATCACCCGTATTGTGACTGAGACGGCCACCGAGCCTGCGCCTGCTTTTTTGCCTCGCTTCCATCGTGGACGGAATCGTGGTTAGGTTGATTGGTTGAATTGGGGAAGAGTCGACTGGGGTATTGGTTGGTTGTTTCTTGGTAAAATTTAGAGACGGGTTCCGTTATTGCCAATTTTTGATAATTATTAAAAGAAGTTTAATTTTTGCTCTTCTGCTGGTTGGTACCTAGGTGTTTGTAGCCTCAACAAGAAGGTAAAGGGGGAGATATACAGGACACCGATCTATAATAGTAATAGTAAAATGAATTTTCCCACTACCCACTTAGTACTAGTTATCCTAACGGCAAAAAAAAATTATAGTGACAGCTCCTGACCTCTATAGTCCTCATTCTATATCTACTATTCCCTCTTACCAAAATACGGGATGCCATCAGGTAGTTCTGATGAGTCGCTCTTGTGTTCCTCATCCCCCCAATTCACCGTCAACCAAGGTACCTTTGAGGCCCCATCTCAGAATAAGTACTCATCGTTACATCTTCATCTATTGCTTGTTCGGAATAAGCCCTCTCCAGTTTCCCTGGATTAGGAAGCCTTCCGGCCTTTGCGTTCTCCAACCTCTGCGAGGCCTGTGAAGGAAAGCTTTTAATAGTTATGAGATCAACTCTGGGATTTGAAGACATGTGGTGATTTGCGTTATATTTCGTGGTAAATTAGTTACTTGGTAGTAATATGATGTTGTTGGTGTTGATCGAATTGGCCACCTTGTGCGTATGACCTTAGGATTTGTTTCTTCTACCATCCACGGAAGTGCTTCAGGCAAGGTTTAACCTTTAGAGCTTCTGCTATGTAACTTCGAATCTATCTAGGTGGAGCAGGATCGGGTATCAGAAAATACACACGACAAGAGCCTGTGTTGAATGGTGCATAAAAAGAACCTTGGAAGACCTCGGGAGACTACTTGGGTTACGTGAGCAATAAGCACAGGATTCTTATCATTGTCTGTCCTCTCTAAAACAAAAACGCAAATTGGAATGCAGAAAAGCAGCAGCAAAAGCACTAGAATAGAGAATCCCCCAAAACCCTGTCAGGCCTATAACTCATACTCGACCCGCCTCCCTAGAGAACCAAACCTATCTGCGAAGCTGAAGACGTCTGTCATGCTGCCCAGACTCCTCGTCAGAAGTCTCTTCGACCTCCGGTTCCCATCGAGCAGGTTGCTGCAGTGAGGTAGGGATGCAGCTGATGAGATCCGCGGCAACCTCTTGGTCGGTCTCGGGGTCGTCATGCTTGCTGAGAATCCTGATCGCGGTAGGCAGCGAAACCTCAAGGTTGCGGCACAACCGCTCGTACTGGGAATCACGCTCCAAAACTGCACTCGAGATGGAGATATCGATTTCGGGGGCAACTTCCTCCCGCAAGGTGGAAATCACATCATCACGACGGTGCGGTTCGTGGAGAAGATGAAAGATTGCGTCGTGCAAGCATCTCAACACGAAGATACGCCGCTGGTTATAGGGATCGTTGACCAGTAGACGTTCAAGAAATTCGGACTCAGGCGACATCGTAGGCCAATATCAGACTGCTGACAGGAGCCGGTTCAAATGTGCTGGAAGTGGAATTTGCGGATGATTTCTAGACAACCAAGGTGCAAATAACTAAATTGTCTGATGATCCAGAGTCCGCTGTGTTCCCGGGGATTGCTAGGCTTGTATGAGAACTTGAGAATGTGGTGGGCATCGGAGTTATTTATGCATTTGCACGAAGCAGAGTTGCAGTAATGGTAACAAAGATTTTATTTTTATCCTCCCAAGGAGAGAAAAATAATATCGAACCTTTGACTACATTTCGGAAAACTCCTAGTTATGTTACGAAAAGAAAGAACTCTTCGCCTCTGCCCTGCTCACAAAGACACTATTTATATCCTATCAAAAGAGATAATATGGTTCATGGCAGGGGCTAATAGTTGTAAGCCTTTGACTTTAGGAAAGGAACCGGTAGATTTTCACACTTGCATAGGGATCGGAGTACTCAGAGACTTGGAACAGCGCAATCGTAAGACCAATGCCATACCTCTATGCAGATATCTTGCTGGAAGTATCGATCTTTGACACTCTCATAATGTTCAAGTTAGAAGAGTGGACTCGATGAACAAAGGGGAAAGTACAAAGGGTAGGGCATGGGGTTAGTTAAACTAGGCAAGAGAACACGTAGGTGACCATACGTCAGCAAACAAAGGATAACTTGCCAGGTAGGCAAATTCCAGTGTACACTGAGTGACATATGAGCACAAGTTTAGACATGCATTTCTCATCTGATGGAGGCACATTCGCTCCGATTTTTCCATGATTTTACTCCCCGAGTTGATGGTATCCAAGGTTCCACGGAATCATTTTCCGTCGCTTACATGTAGTATGTACTTGCCAAGGAACCCGATGGGATATAAGGGAGGAAAACAAATAAGCTACACCCTACGAGACTCTAAACAAGATCAACTACTCCGTACCGTATGCTTGACTCTAATTCTGTATCAATTACCTTGACTATCTCTTATCAGTTGTCCAGGTTGAACTGATAAACCTGATACGCCCCACAATCGCTTGAGCCAATGACGCAACGAACTGCCTGATTGGGATTAGCGCTATATTGGCTTCTCCACATGATCCCAATACGAGCCCGTCCCCCGCGTTTAGCAAAAGCACATACAACATACGAAATATGAGATCGACAATCTTGTCGAATGATTTGAGGTATTCGAGGATATCTTAAAAGTACCATGTACATGCTCGAACTATGCAGAGAGTCATGTGGCCAGTATTAGACTCGTCTAGCTGCGGTTACTGCCGGGGCCACGGCAGGGCGATGGTCTAAGTGGATGCCGTGTACGGAGTAACACCTCCACATTACATCTGTATCGGTTCCGGTTGGAGCTGCCTAGAAAGGCTAGCGACATGCAACGCTGGAATGCCCAGGTGTACGCCGAGGATAAGATAAGCGTGACAATCAACCTTGGAAGTCGGGGATCACCATCGAGCTCAGCTATATGAGCCCCGTTCCGCAGCCCTGGAGGGGTGGATTTCTACCCATTATTTCCTGGATTGCTGACACCCTTACAATAAACAAAGTCCTCTCTTCCCTCACCTTCTCCTCCATCAACTCGTGGGTTATTACCACTTCAACTCTACTTAGATGGCGGTTGCCTTTGTCTCTCATTGTCCCCAACGGCTTCATTGGCATTCATATACTATATCTCTGTGTCAAGCTATTCGCAGAGCTAGTAGAAAAAGTATCCGGACGTCTAAACCCGTTCGCTAAAACAATTGTCGCTGTCCAAAAAACCGTAGTGACAGGCCAAGAACGAACAATGTCAATCGAAATCGTCCCGCTGGCTCAGACCGACATACCTGGGGCTGTAGACTGCGTGCAGAAAGCGTTTGCCAACGATCCATATTTTCGCTGGGCGTTTAATGATCCATCCAAGGTATGAACTATCTTCTTCCGCAAGCAATGTCGTTGAAGACTTCATTGTGGCTTTGAGAAAGACATACCAAGAAAAGGAGTGAAACAAAACAAAGTGGATATCGAACCAAGTAATAACGGGTTCTGACAGTTTAATATCCAACGAAACGCAGCCTCCCTCGCTGCTCATTTCCAATATGGTATCAACTGCGACTGCCCCATCTCTGTCGCCAAGATAACTCGCGCCGCAAACGAAAGCAAGAGGAATGACGATATCCGCCTACCAGCCGGTACTGTGGTAGGCGTTGCCTGGTGGTACTCACCACAAGCGCATTCCACGACACAAAGCTGGTCTGTTTGGGCGCAGGACTGGCTTCTCTCCTTCCGTCAGCTCATGAACAATATCCGCTTCCTTGGTCGTGGTGGCTTGAATGTACGCCGGTATTGGATCTGGAAGCAAGTGCAGCAAACTGCACATGATGCTATCTGGCAGGATCCCCGCGGGTACTATTTTTGCAATGTCGTCTGCGTTGACTCAAAGGCGCGTGGCATGGGAGTGGGAAAGAAGCTCATGGAGAATGTCATGGACAAGGCTGATCGAGAGAATATGCCGTGCTACCTCGAAAGCTCTAAGGGGTATCCCAACGTGGGTATTTATGAAAAAATGGGCTTTGAATTGGTCAAGGAGATTGAATGCGTGGATGGAGGGGATGTTTGCAAGGTACGCCTTCTCAGTTTGGATGTTCCCTATTAAACGACTGACGCACGCCATCCCAGTTATATTGCATGATTCGCAACCCCAAGTCTAAGGAATAAGGCTGTGATAAATTTTCCAAAGCCGATACCGTTAATTAACACAGATACACAGAAATATTGAGCGACATACATGGCTGAATTAGTAGCATTTGAGTCGCAAGCATTTTGGCAACTGTCATCTTTGATTGCTTCAACAGCGTGAGCGAGATGATGGGAATAATCGAATATAGCTTATCTGAGCTCAGCATTTTCAGAATTAATTCCTTTCTCTAATCAATCTCTCTCTCTTTTCCTGGCTTTCCAGCCGGGGAAATGCCACAACAGGTTATGGAGCCCCCTTTCTCTTCTCTTCTGATAAACCCACTGCATCCCAGGAGACATTGTCTAGGAATTCATTGACGCTCATCATTCCGTATCAGGATATGGCCTCTTTTGCTACTGCGGTAAACATGCACACTGGGATATGTAAAGGCACTGATGGGGGTTTTGTTCGTGTGTCTGGTACACACGCAAGTATCGCGACTGGAAAACCAGTTGCAGATGAATATCCACTTCCCGGGATCAACCCATATATCTTCCTGAATTAGGTAGCTTCAAGCTTTCTCGGTCGTGTCTATTACGTGCCGCTCGATACTGTCGACAAATGCCTGCGAAGCGATCGCCCGGAATTCAGATGAATACGGAATACAGAGCACAGAGAATGAAATTGACATAGGCGAGCCACTTATGATCATTGATGTCTTACTCTTTGGGGTCAGGCTAATTATGTACATGTGGAAGTAATCAAGCCCATTTTCCGAGCAGTCCCATCAACACCAGCCCACTGACGAAGGAGATACCACCAGTGAAAACTTTTCCTAATTTCGCATTCATCATTTCACCACCTTCAATAACCCAGTCACGGGCCCACATATCAACAACACCAACCCACACCAGGATACCAGCAGACAGCGCGTCCAATGTTCCGAGTGCAATCAAAGTGCCCCTCGAGTTACCATTGAAGGTGTGAAGAACACCAAGTCCAATGGCCATGCCAATAGGTGTGATCAAGGCAAATGCCATCGCCATAGACGCCTTGGAAGGGAATATAGCCCCGGGTAGGGTTGCGATACGAGCACCGAGTGCTAGACCTTCAAAGAATTGATGGAACACAATCACCACCAGAAGCGTCTTGTAGAATGAGTCGCCGGCAACGACAAGGGTGAGGCCGATCAAGATACTGTGGAAGAGAATACCGGCTTCCATGACCATGACCGAAAATTTGCTGTTGGGTCCGGTAAGATCATATGAGCCATGGCTGTGGCTAAGACCTGCCAATGTGGAGTGTTGCTGTTGCTCTGGAGAAGAGTGGCCATGCTCCTTCGGCTGTGTCTGCTGAGACTCGGACTCGGACAGTATAGTTTCTGTGGAGTGGTTCTTGCTGTTGCGAGCAACGATAATCCTGTGGCCAATGTATTCCAACAAGAAGGCAATGAAAATACCCGCCACAACTACCGCGGAGGTAGTTGCTTCGTACTTGAGTTCTCCCAAACAGTCGTTGGTAAACATGAGGTTTGCATGTGTGTATAGCTAAGGAAAGCAGTCAGCAAGTGGTACGTGTGTCAACGCCGAGATTACTTACGTGGATGAAGCCGGTGGCGATGATGATGCCAGTTCCGAATTGCTTGATGACGGTCGAGACCACCCCATTGATAGAGGCAGATGGAAGCTTCATCAGGAGCATAGGGGCAAAGACACCGATTGAACTAGTAACAAGGACAACAAATAATGTGCCGATTCTCAGAGGGATGTCGTAGTCTCTTGATCGGACACCACATGATGCACCACTACTACCTCCCTCTGATTCACCTTCACCCACGCAGTGTCTGGAATGGCCAAAGTCAATAAAGCACAAGCTTGGAAAAATTGTTATAAGCTTACTCAACACCAGCATGGAAGTGGCAGTTCTGTTTGGTTTCGCCTGAGGATTCCTCGCTGGCATGTTCACTGTGACTGTCTGTGGACGCGGTCTCGGTTGTCGTTCCTTCTGCTTGAACCAGGACATCGTTTCCATCTGCATCCATACAATATCTTCAAATTTCGTGAGTTAGTATAGTCTCACAAAAATGCATAGCTGCCGACTTACGACTCGCTTCCGTGGGAGTGACACCCGGTGTATTGTGCTGGCACTCCAGTTGTAGGGGTAGATGTGGCCGAAACTAAAACTTCCTTGCCATTCCCATCAATACAGTAAATGTCGGAGCCATGAGTATGACAACCAGTTACGGATGATGATTGTGCTGATGTCGTTGGTGTGGCCGCATATACCCCGGCAATGCCCAGTGATATAAGGAAAGGTCTGAAAATGTGCATGACGAAGCTGGGTGCTCTACCCTTTTGCAAATAATAATTAATCGAGATTAGGATTAAGATTGAGGCAAGATATATGCCAGAGGTAAGGAGTTTTAAATCAATGGATCGAGCAATTCTCTCGAAAAAGCCGTTTGCGAGATGACAAGAGCCCTACCTTGGTGTCTCACCCCCAAGGTTCTCGATGCCAAGCGGAAGACCCATCTATCTTTTCGCCAAGAGCCGGCCTGGGCTTTTGATTCGGGTTTTCTCCGGAGAACATGGCAAATATCGCCTAGACAATTGTCGTGCTCTCAAGGTACTCTCAACTAAGTGTCTTGGCGACCCTCCGCCGAGCCTTTGTCTTGGCATCAACCCGAGATTTTCTGCGCTGATTGCTGGATAAAAAAGGCCTTTAGCGAGAGAAGCGATGGAAGAAGCTCTCAAGGTCCCCTCTTGGCAGATTGCACCACCCGTTCAACATACACCATACGGAGTACACCGAGAAAGATGGAGACAACTTCCCGCTTCCTGTCCTGGGTGCTGCGTGGATTGGATTATCCGCAGACACAGTGAGAATGAGCACAAAAGCCACACTTGGCAAACTGTTGAGAAAAAGTAAAAACCTTCGTATATGAAAGCTTTGAAAACTTTGTAAAAAAAAGGATATATAAAGCTCCTCCTATCGTTGGCAATTTGCTTCCATAGTCTCCAAGCAATTTGCCTCAATTATACAAAAATGCATTTCTTCAGCCTCATTCTTTCCTCCGCAGCAATCGCTGCTGCTCTCCCCACCCCGGAGACCTCCGAAGGCAACCAATCCCAGCCCTTCTCTCAGAATGGACTTGCACCTTGGGATGCCGGCGCTGTGACTCAATTCCCCATCCATTCAAGCTGCAATGCAACCCAGCGTCGCCAGATTGAGCTAGGCCTTAACGAGACCATTACTCTCGCTCAACATGCCCAAGATCACATCTTGAGATGGAGAAATGAGAGTGCGATCTACAAGAAGTATTTCGGTGATCGCCCATCTATGGAAGCCATCGGTGCATTTGATATCGTAGTCAACGGTGACAAGAAAGACATTTTGTTCCGATGTGACAACCCCGATGGAAACTGCGACCTTGAAGGTAATGCACCTTGCCCTATGTGAGAGGTTGTATACTAATTATCTCAATCAAATAGGTTATGCCGGACACTGGCGAGGCGAAAATGGCACGGATGAGACAGTCATCTGCGACTTGAGCTACGAAACTCGTCGTTCTCTTTCCACAATGTGCGGCCTTGGGTATACAGTCTCGGAGTCTGAGACCAACACCTTCTGGGCCGCTGATCTCCTGCACCGCCTATACCACGTTTCTGCCATCGGACAGGGCTGGATCGACCATTTCGCAGACGGATATGAAGAGGTCGTTGACCAGGCGAAGAATAACGCGACACTGTCCACCCGTGACTCGGAGACCCTTCAATACTTCGCACTGGAGGCATATGCTTACGACATTGCTGTGCCGGGAGTTGGATGCCCAGGTGTCCAACATGAGCATGATGAAACTGAGGCTACGACTAGTGAGCCAGCTCCTACTGCAACAACCACCGATGCTCCTTCGACAACCGCCGAAGTACCTGCCGTGAGTCGCTCCCTAATTTGCATCTTTGGTGATTGGAAACTGATTTGAATAGAACTGTCACACTCATGACGGAGGCGAGCTCCACTGCACTTAAAGTGCCATCCCGTCAGAACGGCGAAAAGCCCACTCAGGCATTCGAGACAAAGATAAAATATTGGCGAGATAATAGCCCTGACATGAAGGGATTTGATGGGTAATTTATGACAGGAGAGAGAGAGAAAAGAGGGTCCTATAGGCCCCAGGCACCTGCCTCAACAGCTGTAGAGATTACAACGTAATATGATCTATATTATGACAGAGCCTATTGGCTGTCATCTTCAATATTGAATGAAGGAACATATTTAAATTCTACAGCTGTATTTTGGGCCCTCGTGGTCTTGTTCGTTCGGCCTTAACCACATCGAATCTAGGGATAAAGACTTTGTTGGAGTTGTTGCTTTCCAGAATACTTCACCCCTGTCCCTCTTATCGTAGCGGCTATCACTTTAGCAGTATAGGTGATATTTTGCATATACTCACCCTCACCTATAACCCCCCCCCCATTCTCGAGGAGTATAGCGTCTCGTGGTACCGTATTAACATTCAATATTGGGAATGGGTTCTGTTACTATTGACATATGGACTGGGATAATCGGCTTATCGTGTGTCAACCTACTCATATTCCTTTTTCAAGATGATTTGGGAAACCGCTGCAGTCGATCAATTCCATGTCGCGATATTTCCAAGGTTGAAGGCCTAGTTCTGGAGACTTGTAAATAATGTAGCCCATCGTTCATGAGTAGTACTCCGTACTGGCTTAGTTAGCAGAAAAGCTAGGGGGCATCCTGAGGTTGCTATAGACAATTAGCTGGCTTGATCATGAGGTATGCTTGGCTGGTGTTACTCTAAAAATCCGCCTGACGCGTGAAACCATGTAGTTAAATGTTATAGGCAGAGTAAAGTTCAATAAGAAGCTTGATTGGCCGAAGTAGAAAAGTTCTCTATTTACCTAGGTAGCTGCCTTTCCATTGCTTGTAACATGGTGCAGGTGAGCCAGAGCCATAGCATATTATGTATATCGAAGTATTTAGGTGTTACCCGAAGACATTTTGAGGTTCTTAAGCAAGTAAATGTCAATCTCATGGGTCAACAAACGAATAAATATATATCCATGTGATAGCTACCTCCTTCAAATCTCGCATGATCTTGAAACGCATTCGAGTTGGATATACATGTGCTTTGTCCTATGTTTATCTTAAGAAGCCCGTCAAAATATATATCCTCCTGGAGTAAATATATTTTGCCCCAACCCAACATGATTATCATAGAAGAGCACCTACGCAATCAACTATTACTTCTATATCCCATATAATAAGCTACTTCAGCAGGTAGTCAAATTAGTTGTAGTCGAATAAGGGAAACTTCTATGTATCTACCTAGGTGCCGCTGGAATATCGACGCAACAGTGCGACAACACTAAGTTTTGGCCAGAATTTTGAAACTAGATTATGATCCTTTGTTGCTGTGATCGAAGCTACCTACTCGGGCAAGCTTTGCGGGCGTGAATTGTACAATTTCATGCAGCTCGTATGCATATTCAAGATGTTACCTACATACGACCTACAGGATGTGAACAATGTCGAGATAGAATGACCGAGGCAGCCCGATTTCAAACATGCCCCTGTCGCCCCGTAAACTGTCGCACAGAGAGGTACCACACAAAGATTGTCCATATATGCTAGGGTGGAACCCACATGCAGAAGTGGGAAACAGGGTTACAAACAGAGCCTATGGGGGAGGATGTGGAACAGGGGATTGAACGATCTACCGATAAGAATGCTAGCCAAGCAAAGATTTACCAATAGTAGGGTTGCTTTTTGCTGCAGGAGGAGATACTTTACATTATAAAGGGCATGAGAATGCTCACAGGTGCACGAGACGCCAATCTAGGGGTGAAAAACAGTCCTCGAGCCAATGAGGGTCTCCCATCCCTAGAGAAATAATCCATTTCACTGCAGGGTGTTCCCGAATATACCTAGAACCCCTTTGAGAGAATCCAGACCGCTGTTACAGTGAAGCTGCCCCAAAACTGTCCGGGTGCGCTTCAAGAGGAAACCACCACTCATTCCACTTTATATCGAACTATCCTTTTGACGGGCCTACAATTGCCCTTCGACCATTTTAAATAATTATATTCATTATTGTCATTAGTCCAAGTGATGAAACTGCCGCGGTCCGCCTGGACTTGGAGCGCATTCCAGGTTGATACGGCATTGTTTATGTACGGCGGTGTCTCGACCGTTGCCATTCCCGTTGAGGCAATCACAACACCAGCACCCAAGGTCAAAGAGCCACGCCCCGTACAACGATCCAAGTCCAAGCGAAAAAGCCTGAAGAGGTCACTCTCCAAGATCTTCTGATCTTGGATTTCACTTCTCCTCCCAGCCCCATTTGGCACTTCGCTATGAGTTTACACGGACTTGGGGTTATTGGGGCTCAGGTGGCCGCATCGATCAAATCGAACGACGAGAAAATCCCTACCACGCCTAAGATCGCGCCTCCACGATGTTCCATTACGTCTTCGCCAGGGGCTAACAGCCAGGAGTTTGATCCGTCGATTGGTGCAAAGCCATGCTCGCCATTTTATCCTCATTCAAGTCCAACGATCTCGCACGAACAACTCACCTTTGAAACAAAGAATGCCAATCGGAGAAGCCATATGAGAGACATCGAAAGCTTGGGCCCGTACGCGAGCTGCCGAACCGATAGTCCCCGAAGATCGAAGTTATGGGAGGAAGAGAACAAACCACTGACATGGTTGCAAACCTTGAGCAACAAGCAACGAATGGCACTGAAGGCAGTTGTGGCAGTGGTGACAGTGGGGACTATGATTGCGATCGCATTGGGCATCACAGCGGCGGTGGGAGGAGCAGGTTGGAAAACCAGTGCTGGGAAAACGGCGTCTGGGGGGATAAGTGCCTAGGTGAGTTCTTCGAGTCTCTTGCACCCACTGGCTTGAATTCATCGCTGACAGGATATGTAAGGTTCGATGTTAATTTTGATTCGGGGCGACGACCAAGCAGATTAGCATCCATTATGACTTCCTTGTCGAATTCTCCAACCTAAACTAGGCCAGCCTTTTTTGTTTCTGCTTTCTCTTTGAAGATGCTATGGGGAGCTGGAGTTATAGGGGGAAGCAGTTGTTATTCTTAACTGGAGGTTATCCCACTCGTCCGCAGTAATGACATGTCACATCTCGGCTTGATCAGAATCCCGGTATTGAATGGGACATGTCATGGAGCTGGCTGGAACTGCTGTATCATATCCTTAGTTTTTTTCTTTCTTTTTCTGTTTATTTGAATACGACTGTGCATGAGGTGTCATTTAGAGCCTTAAAATGCAGGCCACAGTAGCACGGGTCGGACCGACCTCAGCGCCGAGAGGAATATTGTAGATCCGACCCGTGACCCCACTAGCGTTATAAAAGACTGCAAACTTTTCCCTTCTCCCTTTCTCTTTTCTTTTTCATCGAAAAAAAAGCAACTGAGCCCGCCACGACCATTGTCCTGTCTTACGACAACCTCACGACGATGTGTTGCCTTCGGTCCTACGGGACTGATCGGCTCAGGAGATAAATGTTCCTCGATAGGAAGTTCGTTTCCCCTCTGTGTCCTCTTAAGTGAGGGCGGTGGGATTTGAATGTCGAAGACGGGATACATTCCTTCCATCAACTCGGTTCTGGTAGTTGGAAGAGTAGCAACCAACGCATTTGTGCATGCGATGGTCTTGAGTAGATTTGGTAAATATGAGATTCAAATGGATTGAGCGTAACCCTGCATAAATGCTACCAGACACAGGGTCACTACCCAATGTTTCCATGAACATTAATGTGGGCGATTCAGCCAGACATATGTGTGCACAAGTGGGCACTTAGATCTCAGTTGACTGACATCACTGGGAATCCCTTGTTGTACCGTCGGGGTGCGTAGCCTCTCGCAGCTGAACCCGAATAAAGGACAGGACCACGATCGTCCATATTTCAGTCTGTTTGGGAGGAGTCGAAAATGACTATGGCATCACTTCCGAATGACTTGTGCAAATTTGGCAACAAAATCTCCTGGATCGGCCAAGGGGCTTGCTTGATCTGTGAATGCCGCGTCTCCTACCCAGGTGGTGATCTCTCCCTCTCATCCTGTGGAATGCAGCATCACCACCTTTCTAGGGATTACATGGCAGATGTTTACGATCTGACCACAGCCGAGGGGGTATTTTCTCAACTGTTGATGTTGTTTTTTCATTCTTGGCGGCATTCTGATGGTATTACCCACGCCTTGGCTCCTCGCCAAGGTGCAGTCCCTGTTGCTGCAACGGCATTCCCGCCTGTTTGTTGAACTGACGATCTTGAATCTGAAGGAACTACTAAAGGTCTGAACATCTCCTCAAGACAGATTACTATTCATTGTTTCTTAAGGGAGAATATTCTATCAATCGAGCCATTCTTTTATTCTGCTCCAGTAGCACTCGCTTCCAGTCACTCTTTTAACTACTACGCGCAAAAGCATACGCCTTTTTACAGTAATATTTTCCAAGCACCGCAGTCATGAAGGGCTTCATCGGCGGAATCCCTGTGGCACTGCTGGCAGTTGCTGCCCAGGCCAAGTTCGCTGAACGCGTATGTCATCGTCTGAATATACAGAGACATCAGCTAACTTAGGGTACAGCAGGAGAATGACTTCCATCCCAAGACTGGTGGTACCGTCATTGGTGGGCCTTCTGGCGATCATGCTGACGGCTTCGTCAGCCCCTACTCGGCTAATATCAAGACCGATACCAAGGTCAACGAGTGGGAGAAGGATGACCACTCCGTCAAGTTGACACACACGGATGTGCACCCTCACCCTCACGTGGTGGGTGTGCCCTTTGGCCACGGCCCCCAGGTCCCTGGAATGGGACCATTCCAGGGAAAGCGTGACGCCCCCTATGGAGGAACTGCCATGGGTGGCCCCTCTGGCAACGATGAGGGCCAGAGCTTCGATATGTCGGTGACTGCTAACTTCAACACCGAGACCGAAGAGGAGAACAAGGATGACCACTCCACGGAGATCGAGAACACGGATGTCCACCCTGCTCCTCCTGTCCATGTGCACCCTTATGGCGGATACCCTGGTCATGCTGGCCCTGCTCCCGGTATCTTCCGTCCCGGCACTTTTGCTAAGCGCTTCGGGCACCCCCACGGCGGTGGAACTGCCATTGGTGGCCCCTCCGGCAATGATGGTGGCCAGAGCTTCAGCGCTCCCACCAACATTGAGACTGACACTGGCATCAATGAACACAATGAGGATGACCACTCCATCGAGCTAGAGCATGAGGATATCTACCCCCACCCTCACGCCGGGGGCTTTTCTCCCTTCCGTCGCTCTGAGAACTTTGGCCCTCCTGGCCACGGCGCTCCTGGTCACTTCGAGCCTCACCATGAGTCCCACTTTGAGCCTCACCCGGAGTCTCACTACGCGCCTCACAGTGAGTCGCACTATGAGCCTCACCCCGAGCCGCATTACGAGCCTCACCCCGAGCCTCACTACGTGAACCACCAGGAGCCCCACGTTGAGCACCACCCGGAGCCGCACTATGAGCCTCACTACAGTCCTACCTACGCGCCTCACCACGAGCCCCACACCACATTCGAGCACGAGCTTACTGCGGTGAAGAACAACAACAATGGCCCTTCCGCTGGCAGCATTACCTTTGGCCGACGCGGGTTCCCTGGCCCCGAGTCCCACTTCGAGCCTCACTCCGAGCTCGCACTTTGAGCCTCACCCCGAGTCTCACTACGCGCCCCACAGCGAGTCGCACTATGAGCCCCACTCTGAGCCGCACTACGAGCCTCACCCTGAGCCTCACTACGTGAACCACCAGGAGCCCCACGTTGAACACCACCCCGAGCCTCACTATGCGCCTCACTACAGCCCTACCTACGCGCCTCACTATGAGCCTCACACTACGGTGGATCACGAGCTCACTTCGGTGCAGGGCAACAACAACGGTCCTGCTGCTGGTGGTATCTCCTTTGGTCGCCGCGGTTTCCCTGGCGCCGGGTCCCACTTCGAGCCTCACCATGAGTCCCACTTTGAGCCTCACCCGGAGTCTCACTACGCGCCTCACAGTGAGTCGCACTATGAGCCTCACCCCGAGCCGCATTACGAGCCTCACCCTGAGCCTCACTACGTGAACCACCAGGAGCCCCACGTTGAGCACCACCCGGAGCCTCACTACGCACCTCACTACAGCCCTACCTACGCGCCTCACCACGAGCCCCACACCACATTCGAGTCTGAGCTCACTGCGGTGAAGAACAACAACAACGGCCCTGGCGCTGGTGGGATCGCTTTTGGTCGCCGTGCGTACGCTCCTACTCACGAGACTGACGCTACCGTTATTGGAGGTCCATCTGGGGATGACGAGAGCGGTGGCTTCTCCGCTCCCACCAACATCGGTGTGGCCACTGATGTGAACGAGCACAATGAGGACAACCACTCCATCGAGGGCGAGTTCACCGACGTCCACGGTCCTGCTGACTACTCCCCGGGAGGACGCTCCTGCGTGCGCTGCCAAGGTGCAAGAGATTGTCCACACTGTGACCAAGACCCAGTACCACACTGCCTTGGAGACCAATGCCATCCCTGTCCACGCTCCTCAGAAGTTCGGCGCTGACCCGTACGCTAACTACCCCGAGCACAACGCTGGAGCCGACCCCTACGCCCCCTCAGGAGCCGGTTCTCCCAACTATGATTCCGAGGATGTCCCCTTCGTGCATGTGCCTATGGCCTCCTCTCCCGCGGCCACTAGCGCCGTCTACAACTACCCCGAGCACTCCGCCGGCGCTGACCCCTACGCTCCCCACAAGTATGCCGCTTCCCAGGGTCCCTCGTACTCCAAGATCGCCGTGCATGTGCCCATGGCCACCCCTGCCTCGTACGGAGTCTTCTCCAAGGCCAGCCCGTCTAGCAGCATGGGCCAGATGATCCCCACTAGCGCCTCCGCTCACAAGGCAGCTGCTTCTTCTGCTTCCGCCTCGCCTTCTGTCTCTCATGGAATCATGTTCCAGGGTGACGCCGCCCGTCTCTCTGGCGGTATTGTCTCCGCTGCTGCTGCTGTCATGGGTGTCCTTGCCTTCATCCTATAGACATTGGTTGTCTCAACTAGGTGTTTGGTGTGTCGGTAGATTCTTGTCACTCGTTATGGCTCCTGTCTTTTATGTTTCTTTCACAATCATTCATTTTCGTACAACCTTGCCGTATTTTATCCATTTGGCCCGGCTTTAATGATCAATGGTTCGCTAAGAAAGTTATACATTCACAGTACTTCAGACTTCTCTCTCCCTTTTACCCATCAAGCTGTAATCATGCTGAAAAGACAAGGTAGGTAACTACCATTGCTGACAACTCATTCACGCCGTGTTTTGTAGACTTTGATATATCGTAAGTGCACCACTCAATATCGATAGTGTTCATTTGCGGTTCGTGATCCCGAACATCCAGACACCAGTGGAGTGGGTCAGATCGCCTTGATAGCAAGTGGGCATTTGCTTTCGCCACTGCGCATCCCGAGGTCCTCAAGCTTAATGACAACAAAACCCACTTGCGTTTCAGGGTATCGACTCTCAACGCAGAAGAAATTTCGAGTATTTCGTATTCATCGACGTCATTTTATTACTTGTTGTATGTGTTCTAAGTAGGTGATATGACCACTCAATCCATACTATGTGATATCATTGCCCATCATCCCTGGAGAACATCCAACGATGTGACATCAGTGCCAGCAGTACAGGACTTGGGCCCCAGAGCGGAATATAAGATAGTGCCACCGTATTCTAGTCTCGTTGGATCAAATCACGCTATCTCAAGCCCAATCCCTCATTCATCCCTCAACATCTCAAGTCCCACTGGACATCAAGCCGCTTCAAATCCAACCACCACCTCCATCTCCAAAATGGTTCAGCAAGACCCACACCAAGGCGGCACCCTCTCTGAAATGGGCCAAGGCACATCCATGCCCAACGATGCCGGCAAGATGAATACCATCCCCTCGGTGCCACGTCCAGACCAGCGCGCCGAACACTCCGACTTCGACAATGAAGGCGTCGCGCAGCCATCTACAGTAATGGCTGCTGACAACACCACCGATTGGCCACGCTCGACCCGGGATGTGGGTCAGAGCGGCGAGGTCATCAGCGGCACAGGCAACTCAATGGAAGCCGGTGTGGAGGCCAAGCGTGCCTACATGGGCCCTAATCACCACGCTGGCCATGGCGAATCTCGCGAGATGAAGGGTGCCAAGTACGGCCAGAGTGTGTTTGATCGTTATCAGGCGGAGTAGAGGGTCTCCTCCATTGGTGTGACCTTTCAGCTTTTCGAAAGGATGGCTGCTTTCCTTTTGAGTTCGATGTATCCGGGGCATGATGTTATGAAGGGCGTTTATCAAATGTAAAACAATTCAATACCATTCAAAAAGTTCCCTTTAGAGATTCTGCGTAAAGTATGGCCATTCAATCGTTTCAGATTCAGATTCGTAGCCCAGGCTGGCCAGGCCCGAGAAATCCTTGATAGATCTCGTCAAGAACATCTCGCTTCCTCTTGCGATCGGCCTGAGCTGCTTGCTCGGTTTCAGTGGGTTCGCCGTCCGGTTCCCGAGACACCCATGTCCGGATCGTTCCATCGCCATGGGCAGAGAACAGCTCTATCCCTTCTCCCGAGGCACCGTTCCCTCGCCAGACAAGATCATTTATACGCCCAGCGCTCAAAGCGCTAGACCGACCACGGACATTCTGCGATCCAGCCATGAGACCCGGGACGCGGAGACGCTTAACAAGTGTCCCCTCGCGGAGCTCGAACATGAAAATCTCACCACGATCGTCCTGCTCATTGAAATTCGGCCACAGCAATGTTTCATGCCCTGGATTCATGGAGCCTTTCGGCACGATTAAGGGTGCCCGCTCGGCCAGGTGCGAGGAAGAGCTATTACGGACCCGAGGGCCGAAATGGACAAGTGTATTGGCGCCTGTTGCGGAGTCCCAGACTCGAATTCGGGAATCCTGACCTGTCGTCACGATATGACTGCCATTAGATGTCCACCGTACTCCAGTCACAGGCCCATTGTGGGCACGAGCATGCCGGGAGAAGGCCGGACGACTCAGGTATGAGTCCGGCACAGATCCAGTTCCTGGAGCGACTAGTCCCACTGGGTCGTCCATGTCCAGGGTGGCGATGGCAGAATTGTGACCTCCGCGACGCACGTCGAATATGATTACTCGGTTGTCAACCGATGCAGAGGCTAAGAGATGCGGCCGGTGAGGTGCCCATGCCACTGATAAGACTGCGCCATTGTGTCCCGGCAAACCTTGCGTCGATAGTCCAGATCGTAGGTCTACTAGTCGGACCGACCGGTCAGACGTGCCTACTGCGACGAGCAGTGTTGACCCAGGCTGAGAGGAGAACGAGTGCGAATATGGTGTACAGTCTCAGGCTGAACGTATGTACCGGTGTGATAGAGGGCGATTGTAATGCCGACAGCTTTAATGTACCATCGTGTGCTGTTGAGAAGATCGTAGATGGGACGGGATCAAATGGGTAGATCGAGAGGGAGGTAATCGCATGTGTATGCGCATCGGCGTGAGACGATTTGCTAACGGACGCGCAAGACTGGTGAACGTGTTCGAGTTCTGAGCCTCTTGATTCAAGGTCCCAGAGATGAATAGATGGATCAGCACCTCCCGATATCATGCTACCGTTATGTTAGATTGATGACTGTCGAATGCTAAGTGGTTGCACACGTACTATCGGCCCTCAAACTGATCGACAGCCAGACAATTCACACCGGATTTGTGAGAAAATACCTCCGCCGTAGCACCTAGTTCTTGATCTAAAGGTGCCACATCGTCTTCGGATCGGTCCGTTGGCGCAGCTGCTCTGCGGCTGGAGAACCGTATGCCCGGAGCGGGCTCAAGGTTGTGCACTAGCCGGGTTATTTGAGCGACATGAAATTCATTTGGAGTTACAGACCCAAGGGCTCTGTTGAAGAGATAGGAATTCATTCATTCATCAGCGCTGGTGCTTTTGCATGGAGAAGTCGAGACCACCCGATGATGCTATCCATGGATGCTCTACCGGATTAAAGTTGCGCCGGCGCATATATCGAATTTGGCAGCTCGAGGTCCTGAATCTTTGTGCACTATCCGCTAAATATCACTGTTTGAGTTGCCAAACCTTGATTGGTCTTCCTGGCAGACCTGAAGGCAGACCTGAAGGCAGACCTGAAGGCAGACCTGAAGTATGTCTGTTGCCAGATCACCCGGCTTGGATGAAGAGAGCTTCGTCGAGTCAGTCGAAGATAAGCAAGAACCAACGGACGATAAGCCTTCGAGACACATAAAACGCCGCGCCAACGTCTATGATGCGGTAGCTGGTATGTTTTCCAGGCTCATCGAGCTTATTTTTAGCAGACAAACGAAATCTAATTGCAACTAGGCCGTGTCAACCTCCGCGGTGTCAACGCGTTCCGTCACGTTGCTGCTCAATACCGGGACACAACCTCGTCAGCCGCCCGAAGTTTGCGTCCAGAGGAGCTTCTCTATCGTAAACAGAACATTCCAGCGGAATCGATTGAAGAGAAAACCTATTTCGCGCATGAGAATCTCCCCTCTGATCAAGCTCTCCCGAACTCCGAGCTCCTTGAGACGATACATGCCTATGCGGCCGACTACTACGAATACGCTACGGCGGACAACGGCAAAGATGACCATCAAACCATGGATGAGACAGCATTGCTTGCGATGGGGATCTTGATCGAAGAGATGGCGAAGGAGGAACTGGGTGAAACCGGGGATTTGGCCCTGGTTGAAGGAGAAGAGCTCACGGAGGAAGAAGACGATAAGACGGGCCCCGATAGCGACACTACAACTAAATCAGCAGCACGAGCAGCACGAAGAAAACGAGCAAGCAGCATTGTCCGTCAGAGATCAAAACGACGCAAAGTGTCTCGTTCTGTTTCTGTTACAACCGACTTGGACACCGAGATTGATGAAAGACGATGACTGGATGTGATGGCGTTAAAACTTTCTTGTCAGGTTGCATCCAATTCTCCGCAGGCGAACTTTTCTCGGAGGCTTTTGATGTCTGTAGCTGTCTCAAGCTCCCCGCGATCTTGCAAAGCTTCAGTCAAACCCCTCGAGAGGGAATCGGGTCACCCCAGGTACTGCCGTGGCACAGCCACGCTGCACATGGTATCGGCACATATCCCAGTCCCTGCTACGACTATATGACATACAGAGAGGCACCAAGTCAGACCTCAAAGACTTTAAACTGTAAGACAATGGTTTTACTGCGCCCTCCTGTGCGCGTCCCGCTACACCGAATGTCTTCATTGGAGCTATACACAGAGTGGTACACTCCATGGAGAGAAGTTGCGGTGATTAAGCCGGCCAATATCTAGCCGGCTGGCGGGACTATCGAGCGCCCTACCTCTCTCTCGTCGAACTAAAACACAATCTTGGATATGCTGTGAATCCTACAGCGGCTTCGGCGACATCTTGCAAGACCTCGTTTCTGTTGCATCAGAATCTTGTCTCAGTTGACAGTCTAACCCAAGTAGGGTCTTCCAGGAATTGGCTGGATTGGGGTTGCATAGAATTAGGTCGGATTTATCTAGTCCTGCATGAATCTAATCCTGTGCTGATTCCCAACAAGGTTATCTTGAGTAGTGTCAGTATTAGTAGTTTCTACCGTAATAATTTTACAATAAGTTCAAACAAAAGAAAACCAGTTTTATAGAGAATCCTTGAAACCCTTGGAATATGACAGGTGTCAAAAGATGAGTTTGTTTGAGGCACGAGTTTCAAGGTTGTGTTGCGTGACAGGTAAGCCGGGCAAGGGAACTGCTGACTTGAACTCATTCCATCACCCCAGAACTGCGCCTCCACCAATGCTTAGCTGCTTCATACTCGTCCAATGAACGGACGCTGGATTGATAAGCTTTTCTGAAGCCATTTGACAGTGCAAGATGGTACGTGGCTTTGGCATATCCCACCCGCCCAGAATTGTTTAGATGAGACTACTGACTACTGACGCACCACAAGCCCAAATTAACCAAAAGCGCTAAACAAGATTTGATCTTGACTCATCTCCGCACCACTGGAACCTGTCACACGCTCAAGGATCTAGAGAAGACGCTACCCTCTGTTGCATCCATCAATGGCATCCAGGTCAAGGAATACATCCAAGCTTTGACCGATGAAGGTCTACTACGAGTCGAGAAGATCGGCAGTGGGAACTGGTACTGGAGTTTCAGCAGCGACGAAAAGCATGCGCTCGAGCACCAGTTGGCCCGAGTGACAACAGAGGTGGAGAAAGTCCGGAAGTCCTACGCTGATGCAGAAGCGGCTTTGGCCGGTGAGACGATGCGGCGAGGAGAGGAGATGGATGACGAACATGAAAGGGAATCCCTCATGGCCAAAAAAAACCGAGCTTCACGTGGCAATCGATCGGGTACGGACTACAGAAGCCCAACTCTCCGGACCCCTCAATTCACTGAGCAGCAAGGGTGTGAAGCAGATCCAAGAGGAGTTAGCGGGGTTCCGACAGCAGGCACTGCAGTAGACAGATAATATCTACATGCTAGAGGAGTATTTGCGCAAATTAGCAGGTGGAGACCGACAAATCATTGAGAGTATCTTGCGCGAGTGTTACGGAGACGAGTACGTGGACGGAGAGGGTCTTTGTGAACTATAAGGATAAAGGGGCAAAAAAAAGGGAAAAAAGCTTAGGTTTGCTTAGCATTAAAAAATGAAGTGAAACATGAAAGTCCTGGAGTAAGTGATAAACATGAAAATTGCCCAGAAAAAGGGGAAAACTAGCTGAGCCACTTTGGGTACCAAGAGAAGCTTGACCGTGCAACACGCGAATCGAAAGCCATCTGTGTCGTTCTCCGCCTCGGAGGCTTATCGCGAACTCCCGACTCCCTCTCTTCTGTTCTCTCTTATTGCATCTCCCTCCTTCCCCCCTCCTTTAACTATTATAAACCCTTCCGATCGTCCTTGGGCTCGTGCGTTCTCGAGTCCCACATTCCTCCGGATCTCGCGCCATCTTCAGTTGCGCCTTTCACCCTCTCTTCCCCAGTCCCCGACCCCCGACCCCCGACCCCGTTCTAGACTCAAGACTACAGCATACTATTCCATACTGAACCCATTGGTCCCCTACAAGCCTGTCATTCTTCCCAAAAATATCCACTCTCTTATCTTGCGACCTGACCTTGCGTCCCGATACGCTGCGAGTTCCTGGCGGGGGTACCTTCGAAGTCCTGCCTCGCGTTTCGATGTCACAAGAAACAATGTGGTGTAGTGGCCCTCGATCATAATCCCCATTCTTTTCCTTGGATTAGGTGAATCTCTCGCGCGTGGACAAAGATACATTCCGTGGGCCTTTGGAAACCAGACCGTGTCAGACCGTGTCCAGTGTATTGGTCCTGGACGCCAGACCCTTCGACAACAGGATTGATACTTATCGTGTCGCTTGATTGGATTCCTTGACGTAGGCTGACTGCCTACTGGTCTGTCCGACCATCCCCGCCATTCCGTGCTGCCCCAGAGAATATCGACGTGTCTGTCTGTCCGATCGGTGCCAAATCGGTTGCAGTTTATCATCCCCATCCCTCTCCACTCCTGCCACGTTGTCTTGTATAGATGCAGTAAACGGCGGCTGTGTGTCATGTCCGCTAACCCTCCAACCCAACCTACGTTGCCGGCCAGTCGGAATCGCAACTCTTTCCTGTCCAAGTTTCGCTCCCCGCTCGGCCAAAGAAATCGAGGCATCACCGATTTCTACATCGATCCGGATGACCCATGGCGCTCCTACTTTCCCGGTGATGTCGTCAAAGGTACCGTCGTTGTGACCGTTGTACGACCCGTTCGCATCACGCATATAGTCGTATGTCTCCACGGCTATGTCAAGGTGTTTAAGAATGCGGTTCCGGCAGGGGAGGCAACTCCCGACTTGGGATTCTTAGGACCAGGGCGGGGTCGACGAGGCGCCGAATACTTGGGCAATGGGTTAGCAACCTTGTTTGAGGATGAGGTTGTCCTCTGTGGCGATGGACGCTTGAAGGAGGGCATCTACAAGTTTCGTTTCGAAATGGGACTTCCTCCTTATGCGCTTCCCAGTAGCATCAATGTGCGTTTGCTGATGCGACCCTCTTTATTTCAAATATGCTAATTAAACGGGCAACTGCAGTTTGAACGCGGAACCATCGGCTACTCGCTTACCTCTACCCTTACCCGACCAACCACCATGAACCCTACTCTCACATGTAGAAGACGGGTCAATCTCCTCGAAAACATCGACATTGCACCCTTCCCTGCACCCAGGCCCCGCATAGTTACATTGGAACCGGTCGCAAGGCGTTCAAAACCGAAGGGGAAAGCCCAATCGACAAATTCCGACGCAACTGCAGGGCCGGACACAACCTCGGTCGATACCCCTATTAGTGGCGCATCACCCTCTGTAGATATCAGACCACCGCTGAGCCCCTCACCAAGCAATGTCAGCTCATCCAGCCGGCCTAGCGAAAGCAGCCAAAGCTTTCGAATCGCCAGCGATCCCAGTTCATCCGCAAGCACGAGTGGACAAAATAGCGAGGGTCGCAGTGTGACCCCGTCTATCTCAGATAAAACCATCACCGCAAAGGCTGAGCTTCTGCGCGCCGGCGTGCTCCCCGGCGATACACTACCCATCACAGTCACGATCAACCATTGTAAACAAGTGCGCAGTGCGCATGGAATTATGGTCACATTCTACCGTCAAGGTCGCATTGATCTTCATCCTGCAATTCCCGTCGGCACTACGGCGGCAGGGAAAAAGCCGGTATACGAAGACTGCTATCCGCGATCACGAACGGGACTTGGAGGACTGACTTTGGGAACGAGTCGGACAAGCAGCACTTTTCGCAAAGATTTGTCGCAGACATTTGCTCCGCTGATCGTTGATCCAAGTACCATGACTGCAATCATAAAGACTTCCATCCGGATACCCGAGGACGCGTTTCCAACTATCACGCGAGTACCGGGAGCCATGATCAATTTTCGGTACTATGTGGAGGTCGTCACGGACCTACGAGGCAAAATCACTTCCCCAGATCGCTTCCTACCGCGTTTCAACATGGTCTCCGGTGGTACTACATTTTCGCCCAGCGGGCAAGCCCTTAATCCAGCTGATTCGAGCGGCGTTACTGCCAACTGGGCCGGCAATATCTTGGACACGGACTCAATTCGCCGTGAAAAAGGTGTGATCTCTGTGGCATTTGAAGTCGTGGTTGGGACGCGTGACTCAAAACGACAGAAAGCGAAACGTACATTATCGACGGCTGGCGAGTCGACCAAGTCACAAACTGCGCCTCCTGCATCTGCGATCATACTTAACCCCGTTGACGGGGAGGAGTGGCCAGAGGCGAGTTCAGTGCCTAATTCCCATGGCGAATATGGGACACAGGAGGGGTATTTCCCCGAGGAGACGGATTGGGCAGAGTACCCTGCGGAATACCCTGAAAATTTCCAGCCAATGGACCCTAGGGTTGCACCTCCAGAAGTCGAGGAGCCCGTTGACGAGAAAACACGGGTACGACGCCACGAAGAAGCTCTCTTACCCAGTCAACCGCCCGAGGAAGATGAGGCAGGGCCATCTACAGCACCGATAGAGGTCCCGACCGCGCCGGTTTTGCCAGACGACCATCATCTCCAAGACTACCAGCATGTGCCTTCACCAGATACAAGTGGGGAGCCGCATACTGTCCGCTCTGCGGAGTCCCTACAGACTGTCGTTGTGAACGGCGCTGGCCCCAGCGAGCCACGTGTGTCAGGCGACGATAAACTAGAGCTTGAGCGCCACCGACTCCAGGCGCAGGCGAGTGCACCCCAGGACGAGCCCAGTGGTCAGGAACCTAGCGACGGGCCCAGCGCGCCAGTCTTTGATGAGGACGACCAGCTGGTCGGTGGGACGGCGCATGCGGACGAATCGTTGCCTCGGTACCAGCGTTGATGTTGTTATGTACATTTGCATTTACGGGATATTCTGGAAGATACCACTATTCGCATCATTTATGAAACGGCGCTCAAGGCGTTGAAATCTGTATCATACACTTATTTGTCAAAATCTATTTCTAAATCTCACATTAATTGTTCCAATTTCCCTGAACATCCAGAAAGTCTTGGATTTGTAAAAACGTCCTTATCTCCCGCGCCCCGGGCTTGGCACCCGCTTAGCGATACCTGGAGGACTTGGACCTTGCCCCTGGTCATCTTCTTTCCCCTCAAAACAATCCCGTCTGCTTTTCCAAATTCCACAATGGCCTTCAAAAGCGGGTCGTTCGCGACTTTCCTCATCGTCTGCCGTAAGTCCATCGCATCGCCGATCTCCCCGGACCCCAACGGCAAAGAGGCCACGAGACTGTAATAGACTAACCCACCCAACCAGCAACCTGTTTCTTCCTGGGCATCATCTTCTCCCTCTTCCCTTACGACTACCCGATCCTGTGGTCCACGGTGTTGACCCCGCCCGCACACTATGACTATCTCGAAGCGCATCTCCGCTTCCTGCACGCCTCGCCCCCGCTCATCCCACGCATCCTGCACATCGTAATCTTCCTCGGTCTAGCCGGCCTCCTCACCAAACTCTACAAGCCCTCCGAATCAAACATGCTCTTCGACGGCGCCTCGCTGGTCCTATACATGTGCGGCGTGACAGTCTACATCGCCAACATCGTCAAGGGCCTGCGCCTCGCCTCTGCCGGCCAGTACGGCGCCGAGCTGGCTTCCTCCGCCGACGAGAAGGAGCAGATCCTGGGTCGCGAGGACTCGCTCAAGGTTCTCTCCGCTAGCAATACTATTCTTGCCCTTGTCCTCGTTGGCATCCTGGTTCTGCAGGCTGGGCAGTGGTATGCGGAGCGCAAGGATGCGCAGGAAGATGAGTCGTTCGCGACTAAGAAGACTGAGAAGGAGTCCGGTGATGCTACGGCCACTGCTTCTGGTGCGTCGACTGCGACTGCTACTAAGTCCGGTCGCCAGGGAAGTCAGCGTAAGAAGAGCAATTGATTCTAGTTATTGATTGTTTCTCTTGCTTTTGTTCATGTATGACTTAAGGGATATGGATACTGGGTGTGGCGTGGTGCGCCTGATTACTTGTTTTGCTTGGTAGCTACCTAGGTATTGCTTACTTTATAGTCGCCTACGCAAACGGGGATTTGCTGTCGCGAAGAAAATCATTGGAGACGCCTTTTTTTTCTTAATTGTCGAGGGGGTTCCTGTAATTCGACTTTCGTCTATGTACATATGTGATCCACAGATATTGTATGGCACTCCATACAAGAACAATATAGCAGATGAAAATGCAAGAAATATGGCATGATATGATATGCGATATGCACTCGAGGCGTATGGACAGAATAGGAAAGATAGACAAATGATCATAGATGCATGTAATGTGGAAATGTGGTATGGCACCGCAGAAGGGGAATCATTGCGCAAGTCGTGAAAGATGGTGTGGTATCATATCAAAGTTCAAGTTCAACGGAATGAGAATGGGCTCCTGGGCAGATCCGGTGAGCGTGGGCTCAGTGCCTTGGCGAACAATTCCTCGCCAGAATCATTGCTCGGGGTGCGCGAGATTGCGCCCATGGCTGCGAACCCGCTGGTGCTGCTGTTATTCTGGGTTTCTTGCAGAGCTGAGGGCGGGAAGACTGCAACTGGCTTGAGTGATTCGGGGCCAGAGGGGTTGATGTGAGAGCTTGGAGTTGGGGTGGGATTGGTATCTGGTGTCGGCATGGAGTGGATGTGCATATGCGCGGCGTTACGGAATGAGCTGAATGAGGGGACAGCAACATCGGGAGATTGAGGCGAAAGAAGATGGGCGGTATTAGGAGCTGAACCTAGTTTTGGTTAACTTCACTGATATCACATAGCAACAATAATACATACCACCATTCGTGGACAGATCCTTCTCGCTTGTTTGTAGTTTGAGTCCCTTGAGCTTATCGGTCAGCTTCCTGCCGCTGATAGGCGACACCGGCGTGGCCGGGTAATTGGAGGATGAATTTGAGGAGTCATGGCTACCAGCAACCGAGTCGACAGCACGCGACCCGACCCCGAAGTTTTCCTCAATCCACTCCTTTTCTTGGATGGCCATGTGCAGGGCAATGCCTTCAATGTTGTTGCGAGTTTCAGCGGCAATCTCCGCCTCGAGAACCCGAAGTCGCTTCTTTGCCCAGATTGTATGCAACACGCCCTTCTTGCCCGCTGCACGTCCCGTGGCACCCAATTCAGCGGGGAAGATAGCGGGGAGGGGATTGAGGCGGAAAGCGTCCTGCGGCTTCGAGGGCGGATGGGCCGCGGAATCAGTTGTATTTGATGGGGTGGAGCGGGGCTCATAGCAAAGCGTAACAACAGGTGGGATGGTGGTATTGGGCGGGAGCAAGAAGTAGAAGCGGCGCAAGCTATCACTAGGCCGTTCATCGGCGGGCAGAGTGGAAGTCTTTCCGGCCCAAGAGACATGCCATGACCCATCGGTTGTCGATCGAGTGAGATCGTCATCCTCCCACTCAATCATCAGGATTTTAGTGCCATCGTTTCCCTTGCCTGCCTCGAATTCAAATCGGGCCAACGCAGATATTGACAGACTTCCGCCCGCGGGGCCACGAGGGGTTTCAAGCTCAGCAAACTCGCTGTCAGGTGTGAAAGTGGGGGGCGCTTGAGCCATGGCTATGGACGAGATCGGAGAGAAACACCGTGGGGGGGTGCAGGGAATGTGAAGTCGGTTGACTCAAAGTCTGTTTAGGGTGACGCACGGCTCAAGGGATACGGATTACAAGAGACGCAGTAACGGTTTAGGTGGGAAAGGAGTGAATCTGCACCTGAATGAAGGACGAGGGACTTCAGGCGGGTCGATCACGGGATCTTGGGAATCCCTCTATGTGCCCTCCATTATTCTCCTTTACCCTGCCCGCATCGAGTGGAATACCTAGCCGATCTAAACAGGGGTTTGACTTTTGTCCGTTGTCATTCGCCATGGAGTACAGGGGCATGTCACAGACAACAATCGCATCACTTCGCATCACAGGCTTTGTTTCCCCCGCCTCTAAATTTAGAACCAAATCGGCTACACCTATTCTAAAGTAAATAACAACCGACTCTTTTGAGAGAATCATCAATCAATCAATCAGGGCGTCAGCCTTTTATGTCCCAGAAAACAAAGTATGAGCTTCAGGAAAATCCCTCAAGGTCATGATACCAACAAAAATAGATTATGTTTTGCGGCCGTGTAAGGACACATGGTCGAGGGGAGTGTGATAGACCCCGCACACATGCATTGAAAATGCGTTCTATTTATATCCACCACCAATCGAAGGCTTCGATTCAAGTTCATCCTTGTGTCGCTTTCGATATGGTCATATTTGCACCTCTGACTGCGAAAGTGTGAGCCAGTCCATTCAATACAATATGATATAGAGCATGAGACACCTAAGGAGAGGTATTGTTAGCTTGTACATGCCATAGCCGTCAATAACACAAAATTGGAAGAAGGAAAAAAAGATTGAGGATACTTAGTGTGATCACAGTGAACGCCGAGTAGGTCTAAGCCTGCAAAATGTCCGTCTCCCCATGTTGCTAGGACTACCCCACTGAAACATGTCCTCATTTCAAGGTAGACGAGCATGCATGATGTCGCCGATGATACCCTTAATTTAGATTCTCTGTTCCATATTAGGATTTCCTCCGATTCAACAAAGGCGTGTGTACCATACTGTATGGTACGGAAAGACGCAGAATGGCTTTCAACCGGGAGAAATACACACTAAGAGTGCGTTAGAAGAGGAGAACCATCAAAAATAGTGCATATACATTGCGGTTCCGTCACGTAGCTCGCACACCAGACACCTGTAGATCGATCATTGGGTTTCACAGGCGATGGAGTTGGCGCCAAAGTAACCTGTCAGTTGACGGGATAACGCACTAGTGAAAGAGAACATGCAAGCTATTCATAGCTCAATGCTATAGTTGGTCGGTTCAATAAGAATGGTAGCATAGGGATCGTCGTCCGGCACGCAGGAACTGCGGTATAGGGCAGAAGATATGCAATTGGAACCCCCTCATTGCTAAGTTTAGCAACTTCAACTCCCCACGAAGCGAAGATCAAATGGACCAGACGTGACGAGTCCTCTTAGACCAATGGTAGAGAAACATTGATTGACCAGAGGTGCAGATAGCATGCACTATTGATGTTCCGCGGCATCGCTGTTAAGCCTATTGAATCCCTTGATAGGGCTGCAGTAGCTGTTGAGCGTAAAGTCTATCTCCACCTGGAAAGAAATAAGAATAGTAACTTGATGGGATCTATTCTTGGAACGGTGAACATTTGTCCTGACCACCCATGATGAAGAACGGGGCTCACCTATGAATAGTCTTTCAAGGAGATATGAGCTGCTCCGCATGCAAGGGCATGGCGTTCTTTACTGGTAAAATTTCGAGCCGATCCTGGAATATTCGAAATGATTGGCGCACAAAGCAGAATGAGATGCCCAAAAAAGAAGGCGAAAAGCTACGAAAAGCCAAAATTTGATCAGCTTTTGCCGCTGTCACAGATTGATTGTGCCTTGCACACTATAGTACTGATGTTGGTCTACCAACGAGGTAAAAAAGAAGAATTTGTGTCAAGCCAAATTGACAAATTTCCTTGTTACTTAACCTGTCCAGTTTGATATATATTGAGTACGAAATATCATCGGTGATATAAAGTTGACGTCCCGACAAGCTGGTTCCAAAAATAACATTACAGGATAAGCTAAACCTCACTCCCGCTGTAGGGTAAAATTAGAACATTCACTTGGCAAAGGTAAAAATATTTGATCACGGGTGGCCCGGGGCCTGGGATTGTGGCTCCTGCCAAGGAAGGCACAGATAGCCACAGCGCCTATTCCCCGTCATCATTGGTTAGGATATCCCATTTCCTCAACATGCATGAGATGGACATCTAATAAAAGAGTCTTCACGCTACCTACAGTACGGTCAGTATGTACTTACAAGGATACTGCATGGTGGCACACCGGCCTTTGCTCCGAGGGCATCATAATCAACATCCCCGTTGCCACAAGTATATGAAAGGAGGCCCATAACATTGTGAAAAAGCCCAATAATACAGCTAATACATGAATTGGCGGGGATCTAGAAGTGCACTTCATTTACCTTATATCGACCCTAGTCCACTTAAAGTTAAATTGGGCCAATTTTGTACTGTGACATGTTCAAAGTATGCATGATCTGGAGCAAGACCTCAAGGTTGCCACCTTACACACCAGACAGAGCAGTCTTGGAAGGCTAGAACAGAGGTAAACAGTGGACGCTACCCGTGGACAGTGGGTCAAAAAAGCTCCATAGAGCCAACCATGGTCAATAGCGGGGCTGGACGGGCTCGAGGTCAGCGAAACATCGACCCCTAGTACAAATATGGAATAGCGTAGGCGCTTAAAGGTTCCAAGGTTGCAGGGATATCACCAGGCAGAACCTTGGCAGGCCAGATGTGGAACAGTGTGCAAGTGTCTTTGAGGAAAATGATTCAGATCTTCTCCTATGCAACCTCAATGGTCAGTCACAGCTGAGCGCATCACTTGATTTAAGTTGATGTGGGAAGGGGGAAGCTTCTAAGCGTGATGATTGAGCTTGAACCCAATCCTTCATCACTGCGTAAGAGTATGTATGTATTAATACATCCAGTAACAGTACATAATTGAGCAACAGACGTGAACCAAGCGTATATGGGGGCCATATCCAAAAAACTAATTATTGGCTAGTCGCGGATTGACCTAGAATTAGCTTTACTGTTTTATGTGTGTTAGACTTACTCAATTGAAGGGTGAACGTATAAAATCGAAATTGTAGTAGAAAAGCGATTATTTCATCGTTCATACATTGGTGTATACTTCGGTATTTTCGAATCCGCTCTCGGATACGGGACTTTGTTGTACTTGTAATGGAGGGGCAACACGGAGTACAGACAGCAAACCCAGAAACCAAAATCTGCTTTCTTCCACAAAAGGCGGGGGACAATCAAAATTATCTGATAGCATACATCACGTAGAATCACGGAACTGTGATGGCCTCGTCTCACCTAGGGTTAGTTCCAGCAAAATAACTGCCATATGATATAATACAGCCTTCGTATCTGGGGTCCATTACCGGGGGACTAATATATACGTCGATGCACGTAGGTAATTTGGGTTTAGGCTGGTTTATGATAATACATCTGCCTAGACAGCCCCCCCAGTTGCAGTATTGATTTACTAGTGCAAACCAGACCTTGTAAATTGGCGACTGTGCGTTGAGCCTCACTGCAGCTACAATCCTGCGAGTCAGTGCTTGATATTTTATCCATTGGCAAGTCTGGATTGTATGTTGTGCGGTGCAAGGCAGACAGTGGCGGTCGTGGGCTGATTTGGGAGAAAGAAACTAACCGCTGGGCACTCTCAGCCTCAACAAGGAAAGATGCTAACAAAGATGATACAGACCACTAGAAATACTCGTAGCCGTTAGAACCATACTCTGAGGCCTTAGCGAGCTGCCCAATGCCCCTTTAGGCATCTTTGGAACCTCTTTCGTGGCGCCAGGATCTGGGGGGCGGATTAACAAGGATGGGCTTATCTATGAGTCCTGTGAAGCCCTACAGAAACAAAAATAGAAAATAAAAAATAGAAAATCTCCATTGGTTATCTAGACATCTTATTTGATCACAGCATTTGAACCTTGGGTCTTCTACATTCTTACGGAGTTGGGACCAACGGGATTTCTAAGGCCGCTTCAATATCTTGATAATCTGGATAAATAGATACATAGATATACTTCAAATCACTTGCATTCGATCAATCGTAAAGAAATCTCCGAGGTTCAGTGAGCACGCTAGAGACCCTTGTCCAGGTCAGGATGTAAGCCGGCATCCATGGATAGCGCTAGTGGGCATGTTCCCTGTCCCCGCGGATGTTGGGAGTTTTGTTGGATTTTCCTGCTTCATAATTAGTTACCGTCAAACGCACCAGACACGTGGAGGTGGCTGAACATTAGCCCTAGTAAGTTGTCGGTGATAGATCAGCCCATGATAGGATAGACTCAAGCAGGGTATTCTCCGCTTGACGGATAGCCCCAAGGTCTCGACTAAGACAAATCCAGAGGTAGATGAGGCTCTCACACTGGACCTCCATAGCATACAAAAGTACTGTAGCTAGGGATTATTTGGCTTTAGAGACGTACTAATGTACACCATAAGGCGATATAATTTTCCTTAGGGTATGGATGTTATGGTGGATAATTGCAGCCTGTATCCAATGAAATTTGCAGAAGACATGTAGAATACAGACAATAAGACATGCATGCACCAAAATATATTCGCCGTAAATGCTACCAGATTCGTCCGCTGACCAACGTTGACGCCTGATATAAAAGAGCCAAGACAGAACAGAGCCCAAGTCGTGTTCCCACAAACTGCCAATGAAGCCCTCCGACGACAGACAGTACAGTACACGAGCTCGTTCCCCAGACTAAGTTTTGTCATGTTGCGCACCCGAGCAACAACGCCGTAATTGTAAATTCAAATCCAACCAACTCCGCATCCCCAATTCCCCCATTCCTGACACTTGTAAGGAATTCACTTTCACAATAGAACGAAGAAATGAAAATGCCCAAGCCGATCCATCAAGGGCCAACTCATGGCTTTCAGCATTAGGCGATAGTATCTGATGTTGTTTTCGGAACAAATGAACTTCGAAGAACTGCTTTACCCCAAAACACGAAACGTAAATTGCACGTATAATAAAAATCCAAGATAAAACGCCGCAAATGATGAATTGAGAGCAAGATACCAGCTCAAACGTCTCGACATTCTTGAGTCTTGCGTCTCTTCCCCTTTGGCGGGGGATCAAGCGGGGTACGCTTGTATGTAATCGTGCGGGTCACGACTTGTCTGACGCTGACTGGCTTTGTCGTTGCGCTTCTCGGTGCCTCGAGATATCGAAGCTTCCAATCTGACGGGGAAAATGGCGATCGAAGACTGGCCGCACTGCGAGGAAGTGCGCTCCATTGGGTCGCACTATAGGGTCCCGCGCTGTACGGACTTGCACTACACGGGGTGGCAGTTCGCGGGGAGTCTTTTGAAAATGACCTGAGTGACTGGGGAATGCGTAGTCGTCGTAGCGCAGGCGGGGCCTTGGCAGATTTTACAGTGCAAGGGGAGGGTGGTGGGAGGGTGACGGCTGGTGTGACAGGCGACTTGTCAGAAACCCCAGAGAGTGCGGGACTTGTTGCAGTAGACGGCTGCGAGATTGGCGACGGGTCACTTTTTTCGGTTGGAAATTTTGGAAAACCACCAGCGCTGACAGGAGTTGTGAATACAGGAGTTAAGGCATTAAGGAAATCGGTATATGCCAATGGAGGGGTAATAGGCGTTGCGCTTCCATCTTCGCGCTTGATGTTATCAACGGTGAGGGTCTTGGAATCCTTCTGTATCTCTGAAGGGAAGACGAAGGTCTTCGGCGTCTTCAGCGGATGCAAATCAGGCTTTCGGACTGGCATCCTGGCTCAATAGTGTGTTTGCAAGTCGGAAGTAAAAAGCGCAGAAAGGTTGAGGTAGGCTGCTTGGGAGGGAAGTACTAGTGACGCAAACACAAGCGGGTCGGCAAGAGCGGGTCGCGTCTTGATCAAAGGAAAACGACAAGACGTCTAAGTATAGATAGAGACAAAGGTCAGGATAATGATCGAGAAGGCAGAGGTGAAGAGAGAAATTAGGAAGTCTTACCAAGAAGCAAAGACTCAGGAGGACCGAGGAGATCTTTTTCTATATGGAGAGTAGGACACGAAAGGTGGACGGTATTGTACAAAACCGTAACAACCGTACCGTACCGGACGGTATCAGTCAATACGAAGGTTATCGACTAAGTCAAAACAGGTTAGCGTAAGCCAATCGCATATTTGGCCCGAATGGACTCACCAGTCCTGCTGTCGAGACTAATCAAACTAACAAAGGGGGCTGAGCAAAATGGCAGGATTCGCCCCCAATTGAACTGCAAACCTCAACGATGGTGTAGTTTGGACGAGAAACGTGTACAAGCGACCAGCACCTGACTAAAAAATGAATGGATGAACACAAGCAAGGTGAAAGAGAAGACAACAGATGAAAGATGAAAGACAAGTCAGAAAAAAAAAAGAGTATTGGTAGCTATGTACAAATCAACTAGGAGGAATACTCGAGTCTTATTATATACACCAGAAACCCCACCTGGGCAGATAATAGCCGCCTCTATAATGAAAAAGGCTTGAGATAAAACAACGGACGCATTATCGCGCGCCTCCTGAATCAAGAGCATAGCATTTCTCTATTCCCAAAAATATCCTCCACGCGACGGCGGCGTCGACCAGCGGCTTGGTTTCTTCAGCAACCGTGCACTTGCGGCACATCGCCCCTCCTGGTTCGCTCCCGTCAGAGCGCGCGGCATTCATGACATTAGCTCGATATTGTACAACAGACTGGAAGTTCAACGTGCCAATAGTTGTGGGCTTCTCAAGTCAACCAAATGTGCAGCGGAACAAACCTCAGGATAAACATAGCAATTGTTTCATGACTAGTTGGGGCTAGTGGCTTCAATTACCCTCCAATCATACTTTCTCCGGACCAGCGGTTAGTCTGCATACATCAGTTCTGCAGGAGTTGTTTACACCAGCTCCCTAATGCTACCATTTGAAGGATTATCGTACGGAATACATCATTCAATGTCGGCCTCTTTGCATGCTTCACCTCCACAATGGATCGCTGCAGGACACGACCCTTGTTTCATGACGCAAACTCTGCTCTGATAGTACGGCAAGTTCCAGATGAGGATCGCTTCCGAAACTTGTTTGGCCATAACCCAACAGTAGGGCGCTATGTTTGTTTATTTACCGCCCGTTGACCTAATTACAAGGTTCCTCTTGTGGTCGGAGACAAAACCATCAGGAGCGCCTCCCATATTATGAAACAGGGTTATACTGGCAATGCGGGAGCTGCGAAATTGACCTAGTGCCATGTTGTCTGTTGGGGCCGCGCGCTTGCCCTTGAAGAATTTCTATTTTGGTATTGATGTAAGTCAGTAGAGGGGCATCTATTTTAATCTGCGCACAAAGTGAATGGAGCACAGAGACATATATCTTCTCTATGGTCATCCTGTCTACGACCAAGCAAGCGAAATTTAACCCTCCATAAACAATGGCCATCGGGGCCTAGTGCGTGTAGAAGGGGCTCAGACTGGGAGACTATGCAAAATGTATACTCCCAGAGAAAGAGCAACAATTCCCAAAGAGAAGAATTCATCAGGAACTATCGTGTTTCAAGCCACATAAATGAGTGACACACTTGAGAGACATGGTTGGAAGTTAGGAAACGCATATAAGCAACGCACAGAGGACCAGGGTTAATACAAAAGGTAAACTTGATTTAACCTAACTGCACACCGCTAAGCAACGCTCGTAACCTTGGAAAAGTATAAAAAAAAACACAAAAGCGAGAGTCTGGGGATATAATCCAACGTAAATCCAAAACGCCCAAAAACAATAACAAAAACACCAACTCTTTGCTCAACTATATAGTGTGTATGAAAATCCCGGCATTCCTTCGACAAACAAGACCACAGGAAAGCCTGGGAGATACTAATAAATGATCTAATGCTTTGACTCGCACACGAGGTTAACCATGGAGGTTGCAACTTGCTCTTGCGATATATTCAAATCAGAAGATGGCGCCAGCCGTTTCGATTCATGACATCTCGCCAGTGAACCTGCTGCCTCTTAATTTCTCGCATGCCAGGCGACAAAAGAGGAGCAGAAGGGACCACATCCTGCCTCATTGCCGCGGATTGATATCCTGCCTCGGGCTCGTTCTCTTCCGGAGGGAAGGAGTGGCTGGGAGGGTCATCGGATAGCCGCCAGTAATCATTTAACAATTGGTACATACGACCGATGCTTCCTAATTCGGCAAGTTCTCCCAAAGCAGCCACTCGATCATCCAAGACTTGGCGGAATGAGCTGGAGGGAGTAGAGAAAGCACCAGCGATAAGAAGTGGCCACACAAGAGAGCGGTCAAAGCCAAAAGGTCCTGCTGGAATGTAAGACATGGCATCTGTCAGTGCATCAACAAGATTGATAGTGCTGGTCTGGTCACGATCGCCTCCAGGAACGAGGCTGAGGAGGTAGATGCGGGCGGCAATGCGGAAGATGGCAGTCATGGTTTTCGTCAAAGCATCGGGACGAATTGCCCCTGTCTCTGGTGAGTACGGGCTCATTAACGTTGTATCGGCACCTTGGGTGTATTCCAACTGACTGGCCAAAGCGGAGACGTGTGTAGAGACAGCAACGGAGTCGATGCGGCCCTCCATTTTCAGTGACTCTAGACAGGCAACTTCAGAGATCAGGTACATAATACGATCATCGCAGCCCATGAGTTCTCGAAGACCAGACGATGTTCCACTCAGGTGCTTAGTGCGATAAGAGTGAGCAAACTGGGGTGTTTTCCCAAGCATTGTGGCACCCAGAATGTCAATCCAGGTTGTCAAAGACATGCTAAATGGAGGTACCACGTGCATCGGACCACAAGGAATTAATTGGTTGGTTAAATCCAGTTTGGTGACCAGGTTTGATGCAGCTTGGAAATGATCATTCCAGGGGATATCAGGGAGGTAATCATCGGGCGCGCCAACCGAGCAATGAAAGAAGATCATGGCAAGAGTTGCATCCAGAATGTGCTCGTGGTCAGAATCCTTATTCAGAGCTTTGCACAATTCGGAAATGGCTTCATAGCGATGACGCATAATATCGTGGTCGATCTGTTCACCATTTAGTCGACTTGTTGTTTTGAGGTGGATTGCGGCGACACTAAGACAGCAATGGAAGTATGATTTGTTTGTTTCCAGAGACTGAAGAACAGACCGAGCCCTCGCAGAGCCACGCTGATGGACCTCCAGGATTGGAAAAATCATACGCAAGACATTGTCCACGAAATGATCCAGAAGAGGTCGGTCGTAGTCATCGACAGGAATGTTGGCTTGTAGGGAAGCCTGAGATTGTCCCACACGTTGACCGCCTAGAATTGTATGTGCCTGGGAGAATTGGCGAGAGGAGTCAAAACATTCTTCTTGGAACCACTCATCCGACGGGAAAGTGGGCAGTGTGGCGTGAAGTTGTGGCGGACCCATCGCATTGAAGGTCGAGACCGAAGAGTCATGTCGCAGAGGTACATCGTTCACAAATGTTTGGCGTTCGGTCTTGACATCGACTTCATAAGGATAATGCGGAGGATAAGATATCGGTACGAATCCAGGATTCGAAAAGTGCGCTGCGAAATTTGGATCTTGCCTCTCAGCATATATCGGACGGCTGAAGTCATTTTCTCCAAAACTCGACGATGAGAGGGCGCGGTTCATATGCTCTGAGAGAGATATTAGAACTTGATCGGTAAACACTGAAACCAAGCCTGGAACTAATAGTTGAGTCTACACACCTTGAAGAGATCCACTTCGTTCCAGTGACTTGGTCTGCTTGATCTTGATCTTGATCCGTTCCTTTTGTTGCCTTCTTTGTTCTGCATTGCTCCACCAGGTGGGTCGTTTATATTCGCATTTGATGCAAAGGCCCGCACAGGCCTTGCAAGAGGGATGGCCTTCGTCACACTTTTTTCTTCGTAGGCGACAGGTGAAGCAACCTATGTAGATCGCCGTTAATAACCCAAACATACAGTCGATCATCAAGTGTAGATGTTCCTACCGGAGCGAGATCTTTTGTGCAGTCGTCCAGACTTGTCATGTTGCCCATTGAGAGACCCCTCCGCAGAAGAGGAATTCATGCTGTTTGTCGAAGCGACGCCGGGTACCCTTGGAGTTGGCATTTTCGTAATATAATCCTCAATATCCAGTATTGACGACAAGAAAAGGTCAATCAATGACCAAAGCGATCGGAATAATTGGAGGCGGGGCGGCACGGCCGACGAAAGAATAATATAGTTGATGAGGAGGACCAGCCACCTTATTCGCAACTAAACAGAAGGCGCAATGGCAAAGCTGAACCGGCAGCTTATACACTTTATTAAGGGTATAATATAATAGAAGATGGAAACGAAGGTTGGAGAACAGACTGCTTCGAGACGGGTTCAAAGGATATCTTTTATGTTGAGATCTCGGATGCGGCGAGTTATAAGTCTGAGCTACGATCAGCGGCCCTGGCATGCATGCTTCTAATTTTGTTGGAAGCGGTAGAGGGGCCTAGTTCGAGCCGGGAGAATATGCGAACATTGGGTGGGGAATACAACCCCAGCGGCAAATCAATTTCGAGGCACGGGTTGTTGGCCGGGTCCTCAGACTAAATTTGGGACGTGACAGGGGTGCAAGCACGAAGAGTGACGGACGACAGGTATCCAGGGACGATCCTCTAGAGTGGCGTCTGCAGCTACCAGATAGCGATCTCTGGTAGGACGACTGGGGCCCCCATGATGCACGAGAGTTACAGCGGACCTGCGAATTATCCCTGCTAGTACCCAACTCTTTCGGGGTAATCACCAACTCTCAAGCACCTCACTCACCACTTAGTGTAACTCTGGGCGTCGCCTCTTTCGATGCTGATAGGCTCTTCGAAGTGAGCTCACTTCATTTTTGCTTTTTTAACGTAGAGGCTTTCAGCCAGTCAAACTTCTATATTTGGCTAATAAAAATCTAAAGATGATCCCAATCCTACAACTTGCAAACATTTTCTCACAGGACATATCATAACCAACAGTATGTGAAACTACTTTGGATGGATTATTTTCTATGCTTACTTTGAGAAAGCGGGGTTGTTGGTTTGTGGGAATTGGAGAAATCGATACCGCCAGAATGATAGGTGACCAGCTCATCTCCGCGAGCCAGGCTATTTTCACACTAAACCGGAATTAGTGGGAATATTTGGACGTGATTGGATGAGATTGGCCAAAAAGTAAATGGTTGGTGAAGACTATGCAGATTTAGACTGTGATGAAGAAGCAGCTCTTGCATGCCAAGCTTCTATCTTTGCCTCCTGATTCGCTGATTGCTCAGAAGCCCTTTGGTCGACTAAATTTTAGTGTCATCGGTGTCGTGCAGAACGGTGGGCTCATAGCCAACCGTCCGACGGGCCGGGCAGGGACTGGGGAAACGCTAATGCGCCAAGCCTGACGCTCGGACTGTGATAAGGGCACATCTGGCAAAGTGTCCTTAATTAGCAGCATTTAAGCGCCTTAATTAAGACTAATTATACTATTCCCGAAAATGAGACGGCATATGAATTCCTCTTTCTGATAGAGCAGCTGAGCACTAATCCTCCAAATTTCTATTAATAACTGTATGAGGCATTATTAGGGGAAAAGTATAACCTATTTGTCCCATAATTAGCAACAAAACCACAAACAGAAGGACCCGTGGACATAATTAGTATCAATTTGAGCGGGGTAACCAGGGCAAATCTTCATCCTCCAAAATTGATCCGGATACTACCTTAGGATAGCGCTATGGTGTATGTATGCGATTTCCAAATCAGAAAGGATCTACTCTGCGCTCAATTCCGACCTAATTCGCTCTAAATTTGGAATAAACTAAATTAGCCAGGATTGTTTACGTGCCTAACTTAGACATATACTGTAGATTGGGAAAACATGAGTCGCGGCTTGCGAGATAATTACACATATTATGTGACGTCTCCGGTCGAGGCTAGCATATTTGTACCACAGCCGACATTGAATTGCAATTCTGATTGTAGCCAGGTACCAGTTTATATCCACAGGGGCTATCGGTAATACCATATCCGAAGGTACTCGATGGTTAGGCCATCCAATGTCAGGGGATATTCTCAAGAAAAGAAATATAATTCGGACTTCTTGTCTTTCCAAGGAGTCATCCTATAGTTACATCTATGGATTGCGATGAACACGTTCTAGAACTTTTCGTTTGCTTAAGCTTCAGGCTAAAATCAAAGTCTTTGTCTTTCTTTTTCAAGAGGTCCTTGGAGCATTGGGCGTTGCCAAAGTGCGAATAAACGAGGACAGGGTAGTTTCAATCGTACCGCAAGTACACCATAGAGACCGTTGCCAAGAGAAATTTCGAGGCTACCGGCATAAGGTACGTCCCAATCAAAGAACAGCATTGATATGACACGGACCAGAACTCGTCACATGGCCCCAGAATGACCTGTGCCACAGGCACGTGCACAATGGGGCACGAGGATGTTGTATCTTCAGCAGCGAAGAGTTTGCTTACCCATATTCAGAAGTGTCTAGCCCAGCTTAAAGCAAAGAGCAGAGGTTAGAACTCTATCTGAAAAGGATTGAAAGGACTACAACATGAACCCTATATGTTGAAGGGAAAGCATCCATTTTGCATGATACACATGGAATAAATGAAACCATGCAAGGCTGGAAGACCCACCCTCGGAGGAACACAAGTTAATATTTCCACCTGGCAATAGTCCTAATACATGATCTAAGACAAGTAATAAGGTACACGAAGTGCTCGTGGTTGGAGGCGAAGTGCATGCTGACTTGTAGGTATTAAGGATGACTACCATTTACGGGAGTACGGAGCATAGTAACCTGATCCTATTTATCGAATATGTAGGTTTTTATTTGGACTATATCATCTCTTGAAAGGCGACAGCACGGATCAGGTGAAAGGGATACCGAAACGGGGTCAGTGTTAGAAGATCTGAATTTTTAGATTGATCGAAAACATTCCTCGAAAACCTATGCTGAGTGGGCAGTAAGGAGTTTCCCAAACAGACCGAAGAGTTGTATGGAAAATGCTGCATTTACTGCCATAGATCAGATAGATAACATTGCTTCATTTGACCTAATCCGACGTTGAATCAATATAGATCATATTACTATATTACACGGCCGCGCAAGGCTGAAGTATGGCTGGGAATACAGGTTTGGGACAAAAGTACGTTGTGGTGAGCAAGTAACTTGATCTAAATATCCCAAATGCCGTAGGTGCATGAGCACGCGGTGTGATTCATGTTGGCTTGAAGTGGGACAGTCACATTAGTACGGAGCAAGGCATTAATGAATTAGGTAGATAGCGATCCCTACAAAGGAGAGAGAATTCCATTCCTATCCTACGCGTAGAAGAAACGACCTGTGAATCTAATTTCGACCGAGGCCAGAAGGATCCAGTCTAATACGAAGTACGAAGATTGATTGGGACAATGACGGACTCCGAGGTTGGAAGATCAAGAATAATACGGGTAGCTACTGCATGGATGAAAACGCGCTATACCCGAACAGTTTCGGCTGCGATGTGGTACTCGAGGCCCGCAATTACAATATTCTCAATTTTGTATACACTGTTGTCTTGCTTTCAATAAGCGACTAATATCCCGTAATATAAGCCGACTTCGTTCCACCATTCAAGGATTGAATATCAAGAAAGGTAATCCATTATGCGTATTGCACAGAGTTAGATATTCGGGAGAGTCCTAATCATTGCTCCAGGAAGAAAATCTGAAGAAATAATGATCTGCAATGTGACGGGCGGATGTGTACAGGTGATTGTGTGACTGTTTACCACTTGAATCCTTCCCGAGCAATATCCCTGGCTGGGTAGAAATCCTAGTTAACTGTTCCTAAAGGAACTAATTTGGGAAGGTATATTGAAATTCCTACCTAGGCAATAATAATATTTATGAGTTAGCTTTATACCATTCCACCGTATCAGATTGAGGCGAGTGTTCCGACTTGGAAACGGGCATGCCTACATCCCCGTTTCTATGGACTTGATTTTGGCCCCAACATTGAAGCCACTTGAACCGTCGGGGAAATGCCATCAATTTATAGAATTGAATCCGAAACCCATCTACGCGCCAGGAATTTTTCAAAATGCCTCCCCAGCCTGTGGAATTGTTGCCAAGATTATCATCACAGCAGTAGCGCCGTGATGAGTAGCCTCTCACAGACCGCCATCACCCGCTTTCCTCAACCCCTCATGCAGGTTCGATGTGAACTGAGTTGCGTCTCGCCCAACGAGCATGAGAAGGACCGAGTCTTACCATATGAAAATATGGGTCTTTGACCACCAGCCTTCCAAGCTAGTGTTCCAAGTTAGCTTATCGGCCACCTAGATGCATCATCATGGGCGCCTCGCGCTGCTTACCGCTGAGCCATGTCCCCAGTCGTTGTCAGAGCTGCGAATGTAATTCGTCAAATTTGTAAATCGTCCGAAGTACTTTGTACCGAGCAATTTTACTGGCGGCCCCACAAATGAAGAGGTAATAATTCCCGAGATGATAACTTGGTACATAAACTCATCCAACACCCGAATTACTCGTTTCTGACCTTGTTCCCCATTATCATATTATTCTAGCGTGCTTGAATACTTGGCCCCACAATTACCAACATAAGTCGTCCAGTCTTATCAAGACCTTTGGGCTGGTCATTCCACTGTTGGTTATTTCATTTCCAACAGTCTGAAGTCCAGTGTTGGTACTCCAGCTAGGCTAAACTCTTGATGACAATATGGTTCGTTCTGGCTGGGAATTATGTGAAACTTCCTAAATATCTAACGTGAAATATAGGAGGCCCAATATGCGTATCACATGAACTTTCTAGCGAACCGGAAAGACGAACCTCTGCCACTTTTCCCTCCCAAGACTGCAATCCAACGGCCATTTTCAGAGGCGACAGAGATATTCGAGGAAGATGAATACCAGGGCTACTCCGACAGCTCGCCTATGAGAAGCGTGGCTTCTGTGAGTCACATTCATTCAAGTCTTAAACTATGCTGTGAACATGAAAACTAATCCTTCCTTCCTTTAGTTTGGAACTGGGAGCACATCCACGGCCTCAACTCCAGACAATGTCACAACCCCGAAGTCGACCGGACTCACTGCTTTTGATTTCCATATCGAAGACAACAATGTTTGAGGCCCGAGTGGTCCTCATTTGTTTGGGTCGTTTACTGCGTCTGACCTCCAATCAGCCAATTACGTGGATCCAATGTTCGAGCAAACGCCCCTTAGTACCACGGATCCTTATTATCACAAAGCCTCGAAATTTGACCCTTTCCGAAGGGATACACCAGTTCCAAACCGCTCGACAGGGCCAACACCTGAGCCCCAACATCCCACATTCATGGCTAAGCCGACCTTAGCATCTGGTGGGAATGGGCCCCAGGACTGGACACCTGAAGAGGTTGTGATGTGGATGCAAAGCCTTGGGCTTGAAGATGATATCGTGGATACATTTTTGGCCAATGACATCTCTGGCTCTATTTTGCTGGAACTTCAATCAGAAGATCTGAAGGAACTTGACATCATGTCTTTTGGCAAGCGACACAAAGTGATGAGCTCTATCAAGAAGCTTAGAGACAGCGGCGTATTCTCTGACACAGACACGACGTCTTCACGTACAGGCACTAGGTCTTCACGCACAGACACTCCTTCTTCACGCACAGACACTGCTTCTTTGCGTACATACAATACTTCTTTGCGCTCACGCAACTTGAGTGTCACGAGCGATGTGGCATCTACTCGAAACACATCAGTGATGTCATACAATAGCTGCAACTCCTACTCCACTGCCGATAAAGCAGCAAGTAACGTGAAACACCGGACTCGTCGTCAAAACTCGGATGGCCATGTACGCAGGAGAACCGACCTTGTCCCTGGTGACTCCGTCTCTATCGTCGCCATCGAACAGCTTCTACCCAAGTTGCATCAGTGCTCCAAGGGCGAAGAATGTAGCAAGTGGCAGAAGCAACAAGACAAGCTTGCTCGTCTCGCTCAAGATTTGCCATTCGAACATATCGGCTCTCGCTGTATCGTTGCGGGAGATCCTGGAAATCCAAAGACAGCCCCAAACCTACTCAAGTCCCCAAAGTCCGAAGTCACTCCCTCAATTATCGCGTCCTCTGATATAATGGGACCCGGTAAACCGTCCGCCTACCAACTTTCCCAGGAAAAGTTGAAAGACGTAAAACCTAGGGATCCTCAAGAGAATGTGCGGAATTACTTGAACTTCCAGAGTCTCGACCGATTACAGACAGTCAATCAATCCGCAACCCCCTCGGGAGGAGTTCTTCCGTCACCTGAATCAGAGACTTGCGACTCAGCGAAGGTGACACCTACACTTGCTGAACATCTTCGGCACCTGCCTAAGCTCAGAATTCCCAGTATGCATGATTCCAGCGACGGATCTGTTTATACCGAAAACATGTCAGCTCTACGTACTATCACCCCTTCTATCCTGTCTAGAAGAAACCATTTCCATGATCGCTCCGCTATACATGGCGGACAAGAGCTCATCTCCCGTGAAGTGGCAGCCTCGCCGGCAGACTACTACCGAATCGATCCCTGCTATCGATCGGAGACACCCCTTTCCGAGGTGGATGCGCCGATAACTGCAATTCCAGTTGGACCGGTGTCAAGAGAGGAGTCGCAATCAGTGCCCCCAAACATGCGCTTTGGCAACAGCAAATACGTGGCAGAGGAGCCAGTCACTCGGCCATCCTCAACCAAGGTAGAAGCAAATTGGCGATACCCTTCTATTCCAAATGTCGCCACAATGGATCCTCTCAAAGAGGGCCATGCCATGAGTCCAATTGAAACTCCAGAGGATCTACAGAATACACCCCGTGCACCTCAAATGCGCAACAATACCTTGTTCCCCTTCACCAGACGTGGAGAAGACGATATAACACACAGCGGATGGATGAAGAAACGGAAAACCACCAAGTTGCTACGACATGACTGGGAAGATCATCGCTTTACGCTGAAGGGCACACAGCTCTTAATGCATGATGATGACGCGTCTCTCCATAGAAACTCAAAGGCCCTGGAGCATATTGATGTCGATGACTATGCAGTAGCCTGCTCTTCATTTGCATCGAGGTCCAAGTTGACGGCGGCATTCAGGAAGACTGTCCTTAAACGCAGTGATAACCCACAGGATGTGTCGGCCTTTTCATTTTCCCTGATTTCCCACGCCCAATGGGAGCAGCTTTGTTGACCGCAAGACCATGTTTTTGAATAGCAGCAAGTCGCACCACTTTGCTGTCAAGACACGCGAGGAACGTATTGACTGGATGCGAGAGCTTATGCTGGCCAAAGCTCTCAAGCGTGGTCGAGACAGTGGCGCTGAGCTCACCTTCAATGGGGCCAATATGATATGAAATATTTGTTATTGTTCGTACCCTCGTGACAGGTCTGAATTTTTCTCTCTCTTTCTGCTTTTCCTTTTTCACTTTGTTCTTGCGATACCCGTGGTTGCATGACCACCTGGTAGACAGTACTCTTACTGCACCTTATGATTTCCAAATAGCTTCACGATGTATTGCGACGAATTTCCTTTGTTTTGGTATGCGTTCTTTTTATTCTGAATTTTTGGTTATGTTATCTTTTTGAGTAGTTAGAATGAGAGGAATATCCGGCAGACTGTGGAAGGCTCGCGCTGTCCTAGTCGCCTTGAGAATTTATTCACAATGATAGGTAGGTAGACCGGTACATCCCAAATATATTTGACAAGAAACTCTTTCTCAATGTGAGTATTTTTACGAACTATGGTTTCCAAAAACCCAAGATAAATGGATGCCTCAAAGACGCTGGCATTCAAGGGACATCTAGTTATCTGTAGCCCTCCGGCGCCGGAACTACATGAATACAACATGCAGCGTAACGTAAAAGCGGTGAGGAATTTTCTTTTCTATTATTAACTTGGCCTATCTGCAATTTCTACGTTTTTGGCGATCGATGCGTGTGATATGCATGGAAATACAACATATCACAGCTCCCAGCGGCTAAACCACCGTCGTCAGTGGGCAGGCCCCCGCACCAAGACTGGGAATGCGGGCGCTAGTGCCTTTCCGGCACAGTCATTTGTCGAGGACTCCTGCTTTGGTGGCTTTGGCTCAGGTTGGGTTGCCTGCTTTGGCCTGAACAATAATAAATGTTGTTTTCGAAGGCCTTAATTGCTTGCGATATGGAATAGCGGCATGTTTCATCTCGCGCCATCAGTGGGCGTCGGCGCTACATCGTACAGACACACCCCCATATGGCTACCATATCTCTTTGTGCACATCCTCCATCACAATTCATACAGGGGTCCGTCACTCGGCCCTTCCAAATCCAACAATACGTGCTAACTCCATTAGGAGTGGTACAATCCCATGGAATTAACAGCCTGCTCCGAGTTTCCACAACCGTTTTCGACACACCGTGTACCTCAGACCACACTTCCTTTCTACAGTCTACTCCGTATCTCTGACTGTGGGCATGTCACCTTTGGCCATTTTGTTGCTCTGATATATAGCCTCCTTTTTTAGTTCCTGAGACCTCCCAATATGGTCGATCGCCCTATGATCCGGGTTCGCCTTGCCCGGGTTTCTCGGTCCATCCGGGCAGTCATGCGCTGCCTGGGCGGGAATAGAGAATCCCCAGAGGGCGCACAGCGAGCCATGCTGATTTTTTGTGAGCTTCTTGATCTGTTGTCGCTACTTCAAGATCAACTAAACTGGGCGGAGGACAAATGGGTCGTCGGTACATCGCGTCTGCGTAACCTTGAAGAAGTCACCCGTTATTTCGAGTCGACTATTATGTCAATCGAAATATATTTCCAGCCTGGTGGTATAGGCGCTCGCTCTTTTAGAAAGCGTTTGTTGGAAAACACTTTCATTCCCAGATTGGAACATTTTAAGGTTATGATGATTCTGGTCATGCAACCTGAGTCTCGGTATGTGTTACCCAGTAGCCTTAGCACTCCATATATTGTCGTGTGTTGTGAACCAAGACTAAACTCAGATTTCTTTACACAGGGAGAAGTCCCGAGTCGAAGTAAAACTCCGAAGCATACTCCGGCAATTCTACGAGATGGACTCTGGTTAGTCGAAACAAGCGTATCCCCCAAGTTGGTTCTTTGGCTGAACCTCGCGTTATTTCAGATTCAATAAGAAGCAGCACACCGAAAGCTGAGGACTATCGCAATATCACAAGCCGTATGACCACCAAGAGCTTCATGAGGCTTGCAGACCTCTGCAACAGACGGCAAAAAGGAACATGCGAATGGATATTCAACAATGATAAGTATACGAAGTGGCTTTTTGGCTGCAGCAGAACGCTTTACTGCGTCGGACCAGGTACATAATCCCACCGAATGATGTACTCGGATTGAAATTCAAAGCTGACCAGATTAACAGCCGGGGCTGGAAAGACTTTCCTCGCGTGAGTCAATCACAAAATGAAGCAACGTTGGGATTCTAACTCGGCTATAGATCTACTATCATTGATAGCCTGCAGAATACATTCACATCTGCAGACGTGGCAATAGTTTTCATTTTTGGTCATGATGAAACAGATGATAACACAAGCTCTGTGGGCTTCCTCGACAAGATACTTGCACAGCTTGTTTACCGGAAACGGACGCCATCCTACACTTCTGCTTCATTGTACAACTCCAAATCTTTCGCGGAGGGAAAGGTTTCAGCGAAGACATATCAAGATGCTATTCGCGCGGAGGTCAACAGATTTTCGCGAGTTATGTTCATCATCGATGGGATCGACATGCACGTGGAGAAGGAACGAATTTTGAATCGTCTTCAAAAACTTCCAGATCATGCACAGCTCCTTGTCACAACGAGAGAAGCAAAACATGCACCCACGGACGAGCATATATCCATTTTAGCCACCCGTAAGGATCTCGAAACATACGCATACTCCCGCATTGAGCAAGATGAAGGATTAAGCACTCTGTTGAAGCAATACGCCCCTGAGCTGAAGGTTGCTGTTGGTCAGCAAGTTGCTCAGAAGTCCCATGGCTTGTAAGATTCTCATCTCCCTTTGAGCAATATTGCCTTTCGACGTTGAAGTATTCCCCAGTTAACATTTTGCTATTTTTGGCTTAGATTCTTGTTGGCCCGGCTCCACATTGATCTTTTATCACGATGCAATGACGGAGGCTTGCTGCAAAGGTCTCTCTTCCACCTACCTGAGAGTTTGAGCGATGCGTATGGCGAGTCTATGACCCGCATTGTCAGCCAGAACCCCTTCGCCAGTCGCTGTCTTTACTGGACATTGTATGCCCAGAGGCCTCTGACTGTCTCAGAGTTAACCTTCGCAGCAAGCTTTGAACTACAAGGCAACAGCACCCCAAAAGAGGCCTCTTTTTCCGCGCATACCATACTTTATGAAGCGTCCGGATTACTGACTATAGACGCCATGAATGGGACCGTTCACCTGGTTCACAAGACAGCTAAAGAATATCTCAGTGGACCAGCAGCTCGAGTATTCTTTCCAACTGCCAAGGCAAATATTGCAGATGTTTGCCTCTCGATCATAACCCCAGATGAGGTGATTGACGATTGCTACGTTGATGGGAGAACAAGTCCTCGCAAGCCCCGTGGAAAACTACTCGACTATGCTACAGCTTATTGGGGGAACCACGCCCGCGAAGTTGGCGAGGATGAACAAGCGACGCAAGTTCTCATCCGAGCGTTTCTAAACAAACTTTGCTGGAGACGACCCCCCAAAACAGAATCTTGCACTCTCGGACTAGAACTACCGAAACAATTGGGTTTTGGAAAATACTTTCCCGACTGGACTTCTCTGCACGTGCTTGCATACTTTGGCATCACTGGGAAGGCACATCGCTTGATTGAGCAAGGTGCCGACATCAATGACTGCGATAATCAACTTGGAATCACTCCTCTGCATTGTGCAGTATATCGAGGTAATGAAGAGATGGCTGAATTGCTTCTTGACGCTAAAGCCAACATCAATGCAACTTGCAAGAACGGCAAAACTGTTTTGCACATGGCTGGTGAACAAGGACACAGGAAATTGATCAAGCTTCTGCTTCACCGACGAGTCAACTCGAGGACACCAACCCAGCAAGGAGCGACAGCTCTTCAGCTAGCTATCGGGACAACCCATGATGAAGCGACCGTTCCACTTTTGATTAAAAGCCGATTTGACATGGACGTTCAAAACACTGTTACTGGAAACACTGCGCTCCATCTGGCAGTGGAGTTGAGACGGCCACGTATCCTGGCTTTCCTTTTGGAGAAAGGGGCTAGCGTGAACGTGCTCAATAGAGACGGTATGACTGCTCTTCAACTCGCTTGCAAAACAGACAATTGTGAAGCAGTGGCTCTTCTCCTTGAACGTGGCGCTCAATTAGAAACTCGCTCTTCCTGGGGAACTACTGCGTTACAAGTCGCTGCATCAGAGGGTAACTGGGTCGCATTCGATCTGTTGGTAATTGGAGGGGCAGACATCAATGCATGGGATAGCGAAGGTGACTCGTTGCTTCACAAGCAAGCTCGTGTAATTTCGCCTTCAACGATTTCTATTGCAGCGCATCTTCTCGAACAAGGTGCAAACATAGAGGCCTGTAACTCACAGGGCTATACACCATTACAATCCGCTGCGGCATGTGGAAACAAAGCAATTTTTCTGTTCCTGGTAGACCAAGGGGCAAGCCTTGATGTCCAAACTGCCAGGGGAGAAACTCTTCTTCACATCACACCTCCTCTCAACCAAGACTGCCTTGACATTGTCGAAACACTACTGGAAGTTGGTTTCAGCGCCAAGGCAACAACATGCAACGGCCTGACACCTATGCATCATCTTGTTATCAATGCATTCAAGTCCCCAGACCCCTTATCCGAAAAGACTGCCATTTTCCTTTCATTGCTCCTGTCTCACGGGGCTGACATTAATACCCCGACGGCTTCTTATAAGGCCGAAACGGCACTTCATATGGCAGTGACTGCCAAAATGCCACGCGAGTCACTGGTATCGCTGCTCATCAAGAATGGCGCATCACTTGATTCAAGAACATCTGATGGCAGAACGCCGTTACATTTAGCTGCGGAGCGAGGGCGCCATAGTATTTTCCAAATACTATTAAATGCAGGCGCAGATCCTTCAATCAAAGACGCCGGAGAAACACCAACCAACGACAAAGTCAAAGGAGATGGTCAGACAGCAATAGACCTGGCTCGGAAGAACCCAGCGGGCAATTTGCTTTGGTTTGATAAAGCGGGTAAGCTGGAGTCGCTGCCAGCGATACACCAGCGCAGGAGCCTGGCCACAACTATCGATTCAGTCGATGTTGGCTCTGATATTGGTGAAATAGCGGGATCTACTTTGGTAGGTGAGGATTGCTCGATCTGGGGATCGAGAGCGTCAACCACTTCCACGGATCTTCCGTCTATCGCTTCGTCTTCTTGTTAAGATACGTACCAACCAATTGGACATTTTGCGTTTTGCATTCTTTTTATCTTTACTCTTATATCCCCCTTGTCTTTTTTTTCCTCGTCGTGCTTTTTTTTGGCTCTCTCTCTCTCTCTCTCTCTCTCTCTCTCGCACACGCGCACCCTCTCACTGCATAGCGCCAGCGTTACCTTGGTTGGGGTACGGTTTTATTTTGCTTAACATACTTCTTTTCCTTTTTAGTTTGTTCCTAAGGTGTGTACATAGATAGAAAGCATGTTCAGGCCTTGAACAGCCTTGAAAAGCTTCAGTCGTCTTGCTCCAGGCCTGTTCGCGGATCCAATATATAGCCTCGTTCTCTTGGAGACGAGTAGTACGTATACAATTCGATATTGGAAATCGGAATCAAAGAAAGTAAAGGCTCCGTAGGCGAGTCATCAAATAGACAAAACTCTGCTATACATTAGGTTGGTTCAGCCCATCATGCGAACGACTATATATGCCCACCCATCTCCATAAGCAGAGCTCCTCACAACCTCCTCGATCGGGGCAGACATCGGTATCACAGCACCGTGTAATACGGGCTTTGCAAGGACAGGGGTTCTCCGACTGGGAAATAAATTTGGCAGCAAGGTGTGCAAGACAGTCCCGACAGTTTGAGGCTGGAGGGTGGAACCGCTCCGCGAGCTCAGCATTTGACTCGATTGCATACTCGACGCTGGTATTGAAGGAGGAAGTGGCGATTGTACCACTTTAAGGGAAGAAGACCCGGCATCAGGTAGGAGTGGTAAGAAAATCCGGATAGGGACATTGCGGAAAGGTTGTGACAGCTGAGGAAGAAGGATATTTGATATGCGCTGAAAGGAAAGAATATCGACTGTGTTTCTTTGGCGTTAGAATGGTCTGTACACTTGATGGAGTAGAGGAACCTCCACACAGAATGCCTGACTCACCTTCTTGAACGGCATTCCAAAGTCCTGATGAGTCTTCTTTTGAGAGACTCATGATGCCTTTGGCTGTACCGTTTCGTAGGAAATCCGCCTCTTTCACACTGTTTATGAAGGCGTCGTTCATGACCATTCCATCAGCATCAAGCCGAACAAGGTCAGGAGGCCAATCGCTAAAGTGCACTATCAGACGCCAGGGCAGCGATGACCCGTCACCAGGAGACTCGTTATCTCTGGCGGCGGTCTTTGAGGCCGGGTCTACCCCTGCATAGAGGTCGAATAACAACCCGACTGGGTAGTGCCACTTTAGAGGCACTCCTCAAACTCAAACCAGCCATCGTGAGACTGGGAGTTTGGATCTATCAAAAAATTTGAGAAGAAAGCTCGAAGCTTGGGTAGCAACGAGGGAAGATATGAGATGCGCGGATATGAGATCTAGCAACTGAGATTAGCATTTGCGCACATGAAATGCTTCGAGGACAAACATACAAGATATGGATCCGTTTTGTCAAAGGTTCGACTTTCTGATGAAGCTAGAACAATCTCCAGTGGCAAACGCCCGTCCCAGACGGCCTTTTGGATAGAGCCGAGAGACACTCGGTTCTCCATTCTGATGGACAATAAGGTGTTCAATCCTTTATTTCAATGTTTGCTTTTCTACCGGATTGTCAAGACGTGATTAGCTCATGTAGCTATTTATAATCTAGTGAAACATACCTGATTCTCTCACACCGTGTTTTGAATTACTCGACACGCGCTGAGATTCGCATGTCTCCAACCGATAAGAGTCGCAGATTTGGAAATGCCCCGCTTTGGATGTGATCATGATCCGGGAAACGGCGTCTCCACAAAATTACCGACACAATCGGCCACTCTTGGAAAATCAAGCGTTTGAGGCCCAAGGAGACAGCCCAAGGAGACACAGGCGGTTTGTGTTGACATAGCGTGACTTCAAGCACCAAAGGTTGTTGGCACGTGTTGCTGCCTCAGGCAATAATTGTCAATACTTATGCCTCAGGTTTCCTAATTTCTCTTTTCAACCTTCCATGGCCAAAGCAACAATCACCTATGGACAATTTATACACAGGCTATATTTGATACGACATGAATCGACATCCCTCCAGTTAGCAGACCTTCCAGGATACTGGTATCATCCAGGTTCCCGATATCCAGCACGACTTTCCAATCGTTTGTGCTTTGTGAACTTTTCTCTGGACACATTCGTTTGTGAGACTATACACAAAATATCCTTGCACGTCAAAAATCTTTGCCATGACATCCGCATCAAATGCGACCGTGGCGCGTTGTTCGCGTTCCTCGCCCAGCTCTGATGCGTGGAGACTTAGTTTCATCCCCCAAATTGATTTCTGTCGAGAGAAAGTCACATTCAATTTCGTATGTTGAAACCTAGCCATTCATAATCCACAAGCTGGACAGCAGCGGAATAGGCACAGAACAAATGAGTCGCGCCGCCTCGCCGGGTGGGTTCCCGCCCACGATGCTTTGTAGCTGCCTGGCACGTCTGGAGCTTTTATTCTTGGTATCAACCAAATTCGAAGTCTGGTACGATGTTCCTGCGACCCAGCAACTGCATCAATGGTGTATTGAGTGCTAGTGATGGAAGCATACCCCGAATATCCTAAAAGAGCGACCAAACCAAACGACATAGCGACCAAGACAAGGAGCAAATCCATGCTGCACGTTTCACATCGCTTCCAAGCTGGGCGGATATCGATCTACAAGTTTTGGTTCAAGCTATGCCAAGTGTTTTATTGAAAAAGAAAATAATTCTTATAAGCCGAGCTGTCTGGAAACTGCCGGCGCGGATGGCCGAACACTATCCCGGGGTGCCATTCCTGTGACTTCCGCACAGGCATAGACCAACTCGAGGCCTGGCCCTGTAGCCAATAGGAGGAATGATGTTCTGTGGAAATTTGGTGCTCCAGCGGCTGTCATATTGGAAGTCGCTGCCAACAGGACAGGCAATACCAGGGAATTCGTTAAACTTCACGGTTGGGACATTTGCACTTTCCCAAGGGGCCTCAGGTATGTAACGTAACGGTCCAGTTTCTGAAAGATCAGTCAAACTGAGCATGATCCCCGCAATCTGTGATACACGGTACGTTCTCATCCCCCACGCCGCGTAGTCAGTCCCCTGTCGGCTTTACGGCGAAAATTGCATTTGTGGATCTTTCGGATCAAGGAATTCTTGAGCACCCCTGGGATATCGCTAATGGGTCGAGACAGGTTAGTGCCAAGGAGTCCTTTACTCTAAAAGTTAGTTTGTATAACTCTTCGGGTAAAGGCTGCTCGCCGTTTAACGTCGATTTCAATAGTGCATTTTTGAGTACCAAGGCTGGGCGGTAACGCCACGGCATCCTTCCAAGCCGGGACCGGGCCGAAAAGAGCTTGTATAGTTCTTGTCATTAACATCACCGGCAACAACATTAGGGTTATATAGTAACCGTATAACTTTGTTGGATGGGCACAGTCACTCATATATCTATTTGTCGGTAATCCGGTCCCTGGGGCCTCTGGATGTCAACCCCGGAATTACATTTAGTGCAAATGACTATCCCGGGCGGGTCCTCTGTTGCCGCTTCAGGGGATATTGTGAAAGTGTGGGATTCCAGGTAGGGATAAGTCATTATGCAACTTGAAGGGTTCTTCCTATGTTGTGTAAGCACAGTATGTAGCAATACAGTCAAAAATTCTTCCTTGTATATCTGTCCAGCTTCGGTTAGTATCCCGAGTCGGGATCAATTAGACTTTTACCCGTCGGTGTCGCTCTTCTGACATAGCAGACGGACGGTATTCGTCTTCCCGAGTGCTCGGCAAAACTCCGGCTCCACATGTGGTTAAGTGTTCTCCCCTATACGGAGTAAGGAGTCGAACGAATATTCTTGCATGCTTAGAACAGTTGGGGGAAACAGATGATGGGGTATTCACTTAGCAAGCGGGACTTCGCTGTGCCAGTCTCTCCACACTACAGTTTGGGCCTGTTCCGCCCAAACCAGAGAGAAGATAATCAGTCACCAGGGGAGATGGGCCTCACCGGCGCCCGCATATAATAATATACAGACTCGAACGGCTAAACCCGTAAAACTCGTCTCTGGCACGAAAGCAAAAGTACATGCTACAAACTTGTCTACCACCTACGGCTCTCAAGGGAACACCCTGAAATAAGGAACAAAAAATTCTTAGTGACTGCATCCAGTTTGATATACGCTGGATACTATATAAAGCTTATGTGTTTGCCGGCTGAATGTTTCCCGGGGAAAACGCTACCCCGGCCAATGTTCCCACTCATGGACATCTTCATGCATCTGTACAGAGTAATCATCGCCGTATCGTAGCCTCACGCTTGAACCCCATATTATACTGCCCCGGTCTATGGGGTTTTAGGCGACGTATTGTGGGGAGCTTTGGGGAATTTCCACACCCACAGTCCATTAGGATATCGGGTATTACTTAGGGGCCCATTCTAGCACCTTTTGGCTTTCTTTTCCTCCATCTGTCTTTGAGCAAAATTTTTACTCTTCTCGCCCTGACCTTCAACTCTACCTCGCAGCCGGAGCTGTCACCTCTTCAGCCATGGGCATTCTCACACTTGCTGAGGATCGGCCAACGCCCAAGTCCGTTTACAACTGGCGTGTGTATGCACTCGCTGGCATTGCATCATGTGGTTCCAATATGATCGGTTATACCAGTGCCTTCATCGGTACAACGATTACACTCGCCTCCTTCATGAAGGAGTTCGGCCTCGACGAGATGTCCACCCCACAACGAAATTTGATTAGCGAGAACATCGTCTCACTTTTCATTGCTGGCGCCTTTTTCGGCGCCCTGGGCACATATGCCCTTGGCCACTTCATCGGCCGCAAATGGAGTTTGGCTGTTGCTGCCACCGTATTCTTTCTCGGTTCCGGATTACAACTCGGTGCCAACAGTGCCCGAGGACTGGGTATTCTTTACGCTGGTCGTGTGCTGTCCGGTCTGGGCACCGGCATTGCTTCGAACATTATTCCCATATATCTTTCCGAACTAGCGCCACCTGCCATCCGAGGACGGCTCGTCGGTCTGTATGAGCTTGGCTGGCAGATAGGCGGAATGTTGGGTTTTTGGATTAATGTGAGTCTCCCTGCCTCTCGCCGGCTTTTGCTCCCGGTTCCATCTTCGCATTCAAAGCTAACCAAGATATGCTAGTATGGTGTTGAGCAACACATGCCCCAGACCCACGAGCAATGGATCATCCCCTTCGCCATCCAGCTCGTCCCATCCGGTCTGCTTTTCTTAGGTGCCTTGTGGATCAAAGAATCCCCTCGTTGGCTGTTCCTCAAGGACCGCCGCCGCCAAGCGATGGAAAATCTTTGCTGGATCCGCCAATTGGCGGCCGATGACATGTATATCACCGAAGAGGTTGCTGCTATCGATCAGGCTCTTGAGCACCAGAAGAGTTCTATCGGTATTGGCTTCTGGAAGCCCTTCCAGGCTCTCGCCACTAACAAGAGCGTTATGTACCGTCTCATGCTGGGCTGCATGCTCTTCTTCTGGCAAAACGGCTCCGGTATCAATGCCATCAACTATTACTCGCCTACCATTTTCAAATCGGTATGATTGCGTTTCATCTGATGCATTTCTAATGATCAATTAATCATGCTGACTTATGTTCCTTAGATTGGTGTTGACTCTAACACTGTTAACCTGATGACCGGTATATTCGGTGTGATCAAAGCCGTCATGACCTTCGTGTGGCTTCTGTTCCTGGTCGACCAATTTGGAAGGCGCAACCTGCTCCTTGTTGGTGCCGTGACTGGATCGCTCTGCATGTGGGTAATCGGAGCCTACATCTGTGTTGTCAAGCCCGAAGATAACCCCAGCACATCTCTGAATGGCGGAGGCATTGCGGCCATTTTCTTCTTCTACCTATGGACTGCGGTCTATACCCCTACCTGGAATGGTACCCCTTGGGTTATCAATTCTGTAAGTCATTGCGTATTACCATCCACAATTAAACATTCCCCTAACAAGTTATTAGGAATTCTTCGACCCCAATTTCCGTTCCCTGGCTCAGGCCGCCACGACTGCGAGTAACTGGCTCTTCAACTTCCTCGTCTCCCGCTTCACGGAACAAATGTTCGCCACGATGCACTACGGTGTGTACTTCTTTTTCGCTGCACTGTCGTTCTTGGCATTCTTCTTCGCCTTCTTCCTCATCCCTGAGACCAGCGGTATCCCTCTTGAAAAGGTGGATCGTCTGTTTGATTGCAAGCCCGTCTGGAGAGCGAACGGTATCCTCAAAGCCGCCCTCGCGGAAGAGGAGGAGCAGTTCCGATATGAAGTCAAGGAGACCTCGTACCATGAGGAGAACACTGGTTCAATTGCTGCATCTTAAAATGAAGAGAGACAAAATCGAGCGATATGGTTACAAAATGGCGATAGAGGATATATAGAATTTGTTAGTTATGGACTTTGTACAGAAGATCACGATGTATAGACGCGACATAGATTGGTGTGCATTTAATGAATTTTTTTAAAAAGAAATGTGCCCCGAAGACATCAGTCCCAGCACGAATCAATAAGCAAACTCCTGCATCGTCTTTTATTAGCGATAAACCAAAGCGCTCTACTTGAGGCCAAACTTCACGCATGCTCGCGTGGGAAGGGACTAATAGACACTATTCAGGTGGAGTCTTGACAAGACGGAGAAAGGATGCGGGGGCTCTATCATAGGCAAAGGACACATCCATTGCCATGACAGCGTCTATGATGATCTTTTGGATTGGTGATTGCTAGTTCGCTTGTCCAATGACAGATCTAATGGGTAGCATGCACAGGAGTACTCCGTAGTGAGTTGGGCAACAAGGTAAAATTCATTCGTACACTTTAAAATATGATATCACTTGGCGTAAAAAGCTCGTCGGATCGTCGTTTTGCTCATCCTTTGCCGATCCTTTGCCGCCGTTCATTCTCGATCCTAAGGTTCGGGCTGGTGGCTACGTCATGCCACGAGATGGCCCTGTAGGGTATAGATCAGCAGCACATATTATTGAAGGCGAATGAGATATGTCGGGCACGATGGGAGTTCATGGATTCTCAATTCCTCCAATGCATATTTGAAGCTGTCGCCAGTGCAGATAACGTTGACTTGAGGGTATGATGACTTGTTGCGGTGTATTGTTGGAGTTGACCGTCATGCTTCACCAAGTTGTACGCAGCACAAAGCCACGTTTTGCATATCCATGTAGATGCTAGGGATCGCAGTGATTGTCGGTTGGTAAGTCTGATTGATCGAGCGAATCTTAAGTTTGCTTTGTCCTCGTCGCATGGCTGAAATACTTTTGATGTTAGATGTGTAGGAGAAACCAAGGTAATTAAGACCCGGTGTCTCAAGTATATGTACGAAAAAAGCATTATCAATCAATATATTTCCACGATATATTGTAGTGTGGTCTCGCCCACTCCATAACTTGGCTAAAATGATGGACGGGTTAGCTCCAGATCATAATCTCCCCATTGGGGCAGTGAAGTTGATGAAGTTCCAGATGTGAGAGCATTTCTATTGGTTGGACATTAACACCAGTCTTAGATTGTCCAATGAGAGACATGGATGGCCTCAAAACGCAATCGCCCCCATTCTAAATTTAGGGGAAATCAGATCCTTTTGAGACTTCCTAAAAGGGGAATGATCAGC